GATTGCTACTCGTTCCATAGGACTACCAACATTGTACTGTTTCATGGGTGCCCTCTTTTTACCAACTGGACCATTACTGGCTGCACACAGTTCACATTTTCGGCACCATCTTCTTACATCATCTTTACAGTTCACCCAATAGAACCGTTCTCGAACCTTTTGCAGAGTCTTCGTAATACCAAAGTGTCCACCTGATGCACCGTCATGTAACTGACGCAATACTTCTGACACTTTACTTTTAGGTACAATCAACTGAAGCTTAGATTCTGTACCATCATCGTTCTCGAAGGTTCTATAAAGAAGATCATCTTTTAACACTAGGCAATTCCATTGGCTCCAGTAACACTTGACTTCAGGACTACATGCACTAATGTCTTGCCAAGAGGGCCTTTCACTTCGACGCATCCAATCCAATACTCTTTTTATACATGGATCATCTGCTTGAGCGTCTTGTAGCTGTTGAGGCTGCCATTGATCATTAATGACGGTGGTTCGTCTCACGGGGCAAAGTCGTTCTTCTAATTTAAGACAATTATTACGATTTTCACTGTATGGCCGTCTTGATTGAACATCAGCATTTGAATGACTTTTTCTAGCGTGCTCGATCTGTTCTAGCTTTCTGACTGTTGTATTATTTTCTTGCACTTTGTGGCGAATGTGACCTTCGTTGTTACCATTCCAACATCTGGGTTCACGTCTCTTCGGCATCATGTTACGAACTACTTTCCGTACGATTTCCTCCAGACGTTTATCGTTTCGTTCGTCACTCTCTTCAGAGGTTCGTACTTGATAGCTCCGTGAAACTCGACTAGCTATCTCATGTTCCAAGGCAATGGCGAGCGCTTCATCTAAAACTTTCGGTCTTGCTAGTCGTAAAGCTTTCTGTAGTTCACTGTCTCTCAACCCATTGACGAAGGCACCTACAGCAATTTCTTCCAAAATGTTGTCTGGTGCCTCCGGATAAGCCAACCTCACTATACGAGCAACATCTGCTTCAAACTCTTGCAAATTTTCACTTGCTCGTTGAACTCTACTTCTTAGTTGCGCCTTGTAGACTTGTTGTAGATGGGCATCTCCGTAACGTTTGTCTAGTCGAGTAGACAAGGTCTGGTAACATTTTTCTTGACCCTTAGGAATCGATCTTAGGATATCCGCAGCATCACCTCGTAAAGCAGCAGTCAAGGAAACGGCTTTTTCTTGTTCTGTCCAATGATTGGCTGTCGCAATAGCTTCAAATTGTCTAAGGTATATGGACCAAGAGGACTTTCCATCAAACGGTGGCAATTTGAATCTCATATGATGTGTCGTTTCGTCTCTCGGTGATTCTTCTTTCACTACCGGATCTAAGGCTACCGTATTAACGGGTGGTAGCACTTTCGTTTTAGTTATCATGGTCTCTAATTGTTTGATCTTCTCTTCTACTTTATCGAATGTTTTAGAGACTTCTTCAAACTTCTCACTGTTCTGAATGCATACTTCGTCGAATCTTCTAGACATATTTTCGAATTTCTCGTCGTTTTGTCTAGCTGTTTCTTTAATAATTTGAGACGTTTCATTGAATCTTTCATCATTTTTTTTTAAGATTCTTCAATCATTTGAGACGTTTCATCGAATCTTTTGGAAACAGTCTCGAATTTATCATCATTTTTTTTTGAAGATTCTTCAATCATTTGTGACACATTTTTTATTTTGTTAAAAACTGCTTCCTCTGCTGACTGGAACTGGAATATCTCTGGGTCGTCTCCATTCTTGTTCAGAACAGTCTTCAGTCGTTCTTGGAGTATCTTCTTGGACCCGCTGCAGTCTTCATCGCGTTCTTCTAGTTGCTCACGCAACTGTTTCACTGAAAGTTCTACTAGCAGCATCTTTGTACAGGCACACACGTACTTTTATAAATGTTCTTTCGTACAACGATCACTACCGAACTACGCGGATGTTCCCGACGAACAATACTTTTCAAAAGTTCAAAAGTCTCTTTTGTTCACTGTTAAATTTATTTTTAAATAAATCAATTGACCCCACACCTGACACCAACTGTAACGTGATTAAATAAAACGAGCGGTTCGAATTTATATAAATATATTTATTTATAACTTTACAGTTCGATACTATCTTATCAACTCAACCTAACTCCTAATTTCGTTACCTATATATACCAAAGTTACTATGTTCGAGAATATTCAGGATTAGTCCCATCTCTAATTCGTTATCTGACGACGGGGGAATTTGACAGCGCTTGATATATGACCGGTAATTTCTCGATCCTTCGAGATGCATCGGTTAAATGGCCATGCCGAAAGCATATTCGTAACAATATGTATTCACAGTTACAAGCAATAAAAGTATGACTACAAATATGATTATCAAGTTTAATTATTTCCTAATTGTCTCTAATTGTAAAACCATCAATCAATATTGACGTATTTATCAACATATACATATACATGCTTCGGGATTAGCAAGTTTGGTGACTTTCACGTCTTAAGAATGCTGATCATCAATGCATTTCAATGCTGCTACTTTTTTACTATGAAATTTAAAGAAATGTTATCTGTTTGCGGAGAACGCCTGATATTCTATCTTAGCTTGCATTTTGTCTTATATATCTACGTACATATCCAAAATATATTCATATGTAACTAGATGTACATTACTAATTTCAAATATATAATGTAATGCCAAAAGAACTGTGAAAGACGTTAGAAGCTTTATAGGAGCAAAAATAATCATAGGCTTTTTTAGTCATAATGTAAATGAAATAAGAATACCTCAGAAGCCACAGGAAAAAACCAAATGCAAAAACAAAAAGGGAGATGTCCCATGAGGGTACATGCAAACATATCACCTATTAGCCTAAATGGACTTGTCGATAGTATAATTTCATCACCGCAATAAAACAATGGATTTTAAAATAGACCCGAAGAGATTTGCAAAACTGATCACTGGTCTAGCTGCACTCCATGGCAGGTAAAGACCCTAAAACACTTGCAAGCCATTAAGGTTTCATAATTTAATAGAATAAACCAAGTCCGGATGGATTAAATGCAAATACAGTGCATTAGCTGGTGTTTGGGAAGCCCACTAAATTCTATTGATAGCTACCTAAAACTATGCGAGAAGAAAATTTCTCTTCGTTTGCCCTTGTTCGTTCAACGTGGATAGTGAATTGCTCATTGATTGTCTAATAGGCAGTATATCAGTTAAATTTTAAAGCGATTTGCTTAAAATATTTTCCAAATTTAATATATCACAACGAAAACAAAAAGTGTAACAGATAAACAGGCAATTTTCCGCATTAGAAAGCAGCGCCTTGTGGCAAAAATGCTGGTGATGGGTTTCCTTTTCTGAGGTGATGAGTTTAATGGTATCAAAAGGATGCTGGTGATCAGTTTGCTGTGTTTCGGAGGGTCTAATAATTTTATGGGCAGCTATGTGAGTTTGTATACATCCCAACATGAAAGTGTTAAAAGACATAACAGTTGAAAAAGAATATAAAATCGACATCGCGACAAAACTGGAAGTAAATTCTGAAACAGACAATACAGAACCCGAGTGAAAGTAAATTGAAACAGGTGTAATATAATCAGCCATAAGATTTCAAAAAGAATGCTAAAGAAATTAAATATTGGTTTCACTTGAAAATAAACTTAATTTGAAAACTAGAAAATATTGTTTACATTATTATGTACAGCCTATTCCATGAATATACGACTGTTTTGGATTATCGTGACAACGAATATTTTACTAGGCAACATAAGAAGTATAATAAGAAACATCATCCGAATACGAAACATAAGAAAAGTTAAAGATAACAGTCAAATAACATAACTAAGCTCAAAGCTATAATAGATAATGTTTCTCATACAAAGAGGGGAAGACCGCAAATGAGACGTGTAGATGACCCAAAAACTACACTGGTTCGAGATGAATGCACATGAGTCAAGATAGAGAAAATGGGGGTCTATGTCCAACATTGGATATCTAAAGGCTAATAGTTGGATAGGATCTTACTTTTACTTAAAAGGTTCAAGACTAATTGAATAAAAAGCAAGCTGCATTAAACATTAAAATCTTCTCTTTCTTTTTCAATAGTTAAAAGACAAACACAATTTGGATTCCGCGATACCTTAGGCACCTGAGAGACTATTCGCTGTACAAGTGCTTATGCAGAGGTGCAGAGATGTTAAGGGCATAGTCGCAAAATATTGCCTGTCAAAATGTTCAATGCATTTTAAATGTATTAATTTTTTTCGAATCTTGAGAAAACTAATAAGTATTTTTAAAAAATTTAAATGCAGAAGATTGCATTATTACCGAGGGCTAAAAGTCCCTTAGAATAACCAAAAAGTGTCTTTTGAATGAGATATTTGAAATTAAAAGTTACACTAAAAGTTTCCCCTTTTGTTTTCACCCCTGTAACTTATTAAAATAAGCATTATACACGTTTAGGGACTTTCGGCCCTCGGTAATGAAGTAATCTTTTATTCTGCGTGTAAATTTTTTAAATATACTTAGTTTTCTCAGGATTCGAAAAAAAATGAATACATTTAAAACACATTGAACATTTTGACAAGCGAGATTTTTTGAAATAATTCTGAAAATAGCATGGACAGAACATGTCACAAACAAAGAGGTTCTGAGCAGGATGAATAACGAAGTAGAAATTTTAAATATAATTAAAACAAGAAAATTGGAATATCTCGGACATGTTACACGTGGAGAGAAATACACCTTGCTCCAACTGATTATGCAGGGATAGATCCAAGGAAAGAGAAGTATAGGGAAGCATAGATTGTAATGACTCCACAGCCTGAGGGAGTGGTACTGATGTACATTAAATGAATTTTTCAGAGCAGCTGTCTCAAAAGTCCGAATATGTATGATGATTGCCTACCTCCGCCACAGAGATGGCACTTGAAGAAGAAGAAGGAAGTTATATATTTAAATAAAATATTTTTTAAAAGAGAATATTGTAAATAGATGTAATATTTTCTACTCACCTTTCTTCACATTCAGATTCCTCATGTCTGACCAAGGAATTTCTTGGAAATTGCTTGTTACAAAACTGGCATTCGGCCGGCAGCTCCGATACGGCATTTTCAACTGCCAGATTTCTAGTAGCCGTAGTTTTACTTATTTCGACTCTACAGCTGGGGCAAGTAGCTGTTTCGTCACGGAGCCTTGCATCGGCCAAAACATGAGTAAAGCATCCGGCACACATTAAGTGACCATTGCTGCACTATAATTCGCGCGAGCACCAAAAAAGAAAGAAAAAACAATTTAGTAAAATGATCATATGCTATTGTTTTATTAAAGAATTTCAGTTAAAATATCGACTGGCAATGGTAATCCTGGAAGTTGAACTAGAAAAGTTAAACAAGACATCAAACAGTGCATCAAATTGTTACCTTTAGAGGATTTCATCGGTTCCAAATATCCTAAAAATATGGACTGCAAATTTGCTGTTTAATACATAATAAAACATAATTTTTATGAACCCTATTTCCATGAAATAATGAAGATTAAATTTGTCAAACTTCAATTTAGGGAACAATACCTTATTAAATGTCTTCTTGAATAGAGCTTTTACCAGATGTCTTAAAATGCATGACAAAGAAAATTTAACAAAATTAACATGATATCAGTAACTAGTAAAATTAAGACATCTGATAAAATCATTTGCAATCTATAGTGACAGCTATTATGTATCTAGCTATTAAAAGATGTATTCATTGTTACTTTCATCTTCCACTTCCCCTCAAAAACCAACCATCAGTATAGTTTTTAATTTTTATTATGACTATTATTTAATGAGAAAACAATAATTTAAGATTTTCACAATGTATTAAGTTGTAATTTTGATAAACCTCACAATGTATTAAGTTGTAATTTTTTCGATAATGAGATGATGCTTAGACTATACAATATTATCAGGTAAAATGTGAATACAATTATCTATATCTTGGCCAAACAGGCAATTATTACTGATTATTTGACTTTGGACTTTTATGGCATGTTAATCCATGCTTTTATTGCTATATGCACTTTCCAACTTAGAAAACATACTCATGTTAACAATACAGTTAAAGCCTATATATTTTGAAAGTTTTTGCAATTGGCAACATTGCAAAAATTTCCAAAGTGCTAAAAATTGTCGCAGTGGAAACTTGTGTTTTAATTAGACGTTAAACACTTACCAATCCTGTCCATATCCTGGAATTAACAAAAACAATCAATATACAGTACAGAAAAATTCAGTTAAAAAGTGAATCTTCTACTTTACCTCATGTTTTATTTGTTTATTTTTATGTTGCTATTGAAGATACTATTAAGTCAAAATTTGTGTAGGGAGAAAATGACTAATTCTTAGATGTGAAGAATAAATAAAACAACATGTGATCTTTAACTTTTTCAAAACTGTATATGAGAAGCAAAAATACTTTTGAATTATAAAAATAAAAGCAGCAAACAATCTCTTAGACCTTATATGTACGGTTCATACTATTATATTACATGCTTTCAAAAGTACTTCATTTGAATTGTTATAATTAATATGTACTAGTCTTATTACACTACTGTTACCCATGTTTTTTTAAGAAAATACCTACCCATCTGTGTAATATATGATAAATTAATAGTATTTAGATGTAATATTTGTAAATGAAGTCCAAGCAGGTAGGTATTCTTTGCTGAAAAGTAGTGTGGGTGCACCTACCTCATGAAAATTTTTATTTGCAGGAAAACAACCATTACTAGCATCAATGTTTTAAAGGGATTGGGTTTGGGAAATGAAATACTAAAGCTAATAGTAAAGTAAGGACTACGCAAAATAAATCAAATCAATTTATTGAAATTCAGATATTACTTATAAAACAGCAAAGCTTAATACAAATGTATTGTTTCTAATTACATATTTATGAAAATGATAGCTTGGTGCACAACAAGAACAAAAGTTTATATATCAAAATCCGACATTTTATAATATTAAATTAAGAAAATTAGGAAACTTTGTTGTTCCCATTGATATACTATATCTCCTGATCTATTTTGGATTCCAAACTTTTGTAACAAAGAGTGCAAACCAAACATCATTTTAATAATTTTTGACCACCTTAAATATATTGTAACATAGATTAGGGTAATTACATTTATTTTAAGAAGGTAATAATATTTAGTAAACAACTAAACAAATAAAAATTATATCTGAGACATTTTAAGTCTTATTACATTGGAAACAAAACTTTAAAATTTTAATAGAAATGTAAAGATGTATCTTTTTCAACAAAGAACTGTTTTGAGTTTGAAAATTAAGAAATTATTGCTCGTTAAATGTTTTTAGAAATCTCTATTACAGTTACTCACAACTGCAATATCATGGAATGATATACCTAATATTGTTCTGAAGCTATTTTCTTGTGGCATTTTAAATTAATTACTATTTAACTGGGAATAAGCCACAATTAAAGATAAAAATATGTTTATTGACGTTTCAATTTCCACTTCGGAAATTGTTCTCAAAATACAAACAGTAAATTACTGTTTGTATTTTGAGAACGATTTCCGAAGTGGAAATTGAAATGTCAATAAACGTTTACAATTAAAGTAAATTACTATTTGTATTTTGAAAACAATTTCCGAAGTGGAAATTGAAACATCAATAAACATATTTTTATCTTTAATTGTGGCTTATTCCCAGTTACTGTTGATGTAATGAATCTTCCCAACATTTATCAACACAATATCAGTTCTGAAAGAAATAATTTTAGAAAAATTACTATAATCACAATGAATTAATTTGGGATGTAAGAAGGAAAAGTGGAAAACAAAAATGTTTAAAAAGGGAAACTGGATAGTAAAAATATACCCAACCAGGATCAGTGCACAAAAGTTGTAGTTTAAGCTTAGATTTTTGTGTAGAAATGTCTCCAAAAACTTGTTTATAACTGGAATTTGGATAAGCTTTAACTGAAAAAGTTGTGTAAAATTCAGAAAAAAAATTACAACAAAAATAGATGTTTTTCAATATTGTACAATTTACTTAAAAAATTTCCAATGCATAAAAGAGTTGTAAAATTATGAATTGTGTAAAAACATTTGCGAAATTTGCTAATGAGAAATCAGAAAACTTTAAAATTTCTAAAAATTGGATATTGACAATTTGAAGCTTAGAGGAAAATGTGATCCCAGTTTTCTCTTTTTGCATCTTTTAAAATTTTTTGCACAAGCAATCTTTGTGCAGTTATATTGTGAAATATAACTGCAAACAGTTTTATCCATTTTTCTTGTAAATATGTTAAAGTGCTCACAAATGCCCCAATTACAAAGTCTTGTAAAAGTAAAGGAAAAATGACACAATCTTACAAAATCAAGAATTATAAAGACATAAGTGTAACAAAACCAAAACTAAATGTTGACAAAGAAAAAATTTCCTTACTTATGGATAAAACTTATTCAAAACTTTGCATTAGCTGTATGAGGAGAACCACTAAGAACATCCAATAGAGCTACAAGATATCATTTGGATAAAAAAATTGAATTTACTGCATTCCACAAACTAATAAGTTAGTTTGTGGCATGCAATGAGTTAATAAATAAAGATGATTAAATAAACAGTTAAATAATCAATAATATATTTTACTTAGCTTTTTTCTGAAATAATGATTTTCAAAATTATAAATGAATTGAATTTGCAACAATACAAAATACTTGTGAGATACATTCAAACTAAAAACTAAATCATTAAGTAATCCCAGGTCTGTAAAAAAATATTACAAGGTCATTCATAATATTTGAATAAGTTCTTGACCTCAAAATCAAAATAACATTCTTTTTAGGTGTGAGACTATAATTCAGAAATATAATCAGGTCATAGCAAAATAATATTACTCTATACCAGAATAAGTCAAAAAAACCTGTTAAGAAATTATTTTCTTTTACTATTTTTATAGGTAATTTTTTACTAAATGGGTATTGTTTTATAAATTAGACTTAAAATGTTCATAATATAATTTTTGTCCAAATTTCAAATTATTTTGAAAATATCTAGGTATCTTTTCTGTTCTAAAATGTCTAAATTTACAATTAAATCGTAGTACAAAAATTATGAAATATATTTTTTCTAACATGGAATTTTTTTACAACTACGCAAAATCAGAAAATAGAAAATCACTTGTGCAGAACAAAGACCTCTGTCATGCAATGCTAGGAAATTCATAACAAAAGGACTCTGCTCTGCGAGTGTATTTTTCCACAGGCGAGTTTAATCAATACTTCTACTCGCCTGCAGAAATCTGCTGCAACGTAAAAGAGAACAAAGAAAAACGTAAATGTTTAGCATATTATGTAACGCTTGTTAGCAAAATGGTTTCATTTCTATTTGGATAATGATAAAAATATAAACTTACCTGATAAACAGCAGCTCTAGGTAAATCTAAACAAACTGCGCAGCATAAAATTCCGCCCAGCCTTTCTTCTAACTTGTATTTTTTGTCATCTGTTAGTTTACTACTAATTTTACGTTTTTTTATGTCTGGTTCTAGGAATTCTTCCTGTTTAACATCTTCGACAATTTGAGGAGTAGTCTCGCTACTCGATGATGTTGGCTGAGTTTCAGACATATCGATAGGATTAATATCCTCGTTTATAGCTAATTCAATCATTACCCAAACACAAAACAGCTGAGAGGAACACTCCACTTCCACACAAAACCAGAAAACAGCTGACGTGACGTTTCTTATTTGACACGAACCCTAGCGTGCTTCCCTCGCCCCACCTCAACTCAGTATCCGTCAAGGCCACGCCTTCATACATCCTTTGTTTTTATAAATAAAGATGTTGCCAAATACGTGCATTTCTTGACTTCAAAGATATATTAGTTTTTTTCAGTGGCGTTCATTAACATTATTAATCAAAATCAAACAAGATGATCGTTAATTATAAAATAGTCACCGTTATTGTCTCAATATCGAAGAAAATTTACTACACAGCTTAAAGTTCGCAGAAGACATTGTTTTGATAAGTACAATATCGAAAAGTTGCGATCTTAATAAGCGAACTAAATTAAAATTCTAAACATTAAACACATAATATAACTATTATTAGGTATAACAATACAAAATATCGAACACTATATACTTAAATTATAGTAATAATAGATTGCAAAATTTAAAATGGTCGTTTGGACTTATAGATCTTTCCATAGTCATCTAACCAGATTATCGGCAATCCCGTTACCAGTAATCTTTTAGCACTAGGCTCTGGCACTACTCTTTCATCCCTGATGTTGCTGTGTTTCGTTATTTGCCTAAAAAAGTTTGCAGTTACAAACAAGGATTCACAGTTGTAGTCTTTAGAGTCTAGGCCTATTATTATAATAAGTGAGTGCATCTCATGATTTGAGCGACTTCGGTTTGCGCTAACACACTCGTTATGATTATACTTGGTGAGAGTTCGAAATCTTATTTTGCTGACATAGTTTATGTGGATATAATAATAGATTTAATTGATTCCAATCCTTAAAATCTTCTGATATCCAGTCAGTGTAAACCTAAAGCCAATTTCTATATCGATTCGATTCTCCTTACACGTATTATGTTGAGTGAGGTCTAGCATTATCTTCAAGGGTGCAGTGAGACACGCTCTTATTATGCACGTAATTTCTTCGCAAGCTGGTGTTTCCACTTCTTGCAATCCTGTTATTGCCTCTTACTGTATTATTTTGATTCATCAAACCAGTGCAACCTAACTAAAAATGCCGGTAAATATGACCAATAGATAGTTTTAGGTTGCTGCGCCCCATGTTTTGATACAATCCTTCGGAACATATATTAAGCCCTTGTGGGCCCTTACCTTTAACCGCTATAAGTATATCATCTGCATAGCCTAAAGAACAAAATCCTTATCTTTTGAGGTTTATTAAAAGACCGTCGACTAGTACCGATCGTAGAGAAATTCCTATTTTCCTCAAAATAAGTATATTATAATAATATATCATTCTTCAAGTTAAATACATATTTATTCTTAAGCCATACAAGAAATCTCCCGAGATTTGTTTAAGACTATACTGACATATAGAATTAGAATTGTAAAATATCTGTTTTTATAAATCCTGTATGATAGCACTGACCCTGTTCTTTGGAAAAAAAAACAAAATATTTGTTCAACTTCTGGCAACATGGCCAGTGCTTTCCTCCCTTTCTCTTCTATTTATGACAACATTTCTGTTTCCAGATGATCAAATTAACGAGTATGCGTCGTCGGGTGTCGTCGTATTTTAGATTTGAGTTTATGATAAGCCATAGTTACAGGGTCGTACTCGTGCTTGTGCTGCTGCTGCTCTGATGCTTGCTGTGCTGAGCTGTTCGGTTTTGCTGTAACGGGGAATCAATTCAACAAGACTCGCCGATTTGGTTCGATTGCTACTGCCAATCCTTCATTCATCTGTCTTCATATCTTCATTTTCGTCTTCATATTTATCAGTGTCGTATATTGCTGCTTGTTCTACTTCGCTTTTAGGTTTCTTTTTATACAGCACGTCTACTACAGGGTAACTTGGTGCACAACAGGAACAAAAGTTTATACCAAAATCAGACATTTTATAATATTAAATTAAGAAAATTCAGAAACTTTGTGTTCCCATTGATATACTATGATCTATTTTAGATTCCAAACTTTTGTAACAAAGAGTGCAAACCAAACATCATTTTAATAATTTTTGACCACCTTAAATATATTGTAACATAGATTAGGGTAATTACATCTATTTTAAGAAGGTAATAATATTTAGTAAACTAAATAAATAAAAATTATATCCGAGACATTTTAAGTCTTAGGAAACAAAACTTTTAAAACATAATAGTTACATGGTCGTACTCGTGCTTGTGCTGCTGCTGCTCTGATGCTTGCTGTGGTGTTCGGTTTGCTGTAACATCAGTGTCTGTATATTGCTGGTTGTTCTACTTCTCTTTTAGGTTTGTTTTTATACAGCACGTCTACCACAGCCAACTGAATTCCATGTACATAGCACAGTTGTTGATAGCAAGGCATGAGCTTGCCAACTTTCACCATAACGGATGCGCCGTCGGTCGTGATACCAATGGTGTCGAATTCAATCATTAAACCAAAAATTTTCAACCGTTCTGACACTAATTCAATGCAGTGTCGGCAGTGCACGAGCCGTAAATTCTGATCAAACCTAGATTAAAATGTTCTGTATTGTGCAAATTGAGATTTATGTATCTTGTGATTTTTTTGGGAAGTCCCCTCGTCGAAGCTCAACGAAAATCTTTGTCCTTTTTGTTTTAAATTAGTAAATGCTTTTACAAGATTTGCTTGGACTTTCTCTGCATACCTGTAAATTATCGCTCTTATAGTGTTCGGAGAAGTTAGTAATTGGAATCCTCTTTTTGCGAATAACCGTCTCAAGTCGGGTGAGGTACAAAATGAACTCAAGCTAAAACCATCTTGGCAAACCATCCTAGTAACCATATCTTCCATAGAAGTTTCTCTTTCAAAGTAGGAATCAACAGTCTTCTTCGACTTTTTGCTCGGAACTACTTCCTGATTATCTTCATTTTTTGACCAGGTTGCTTTGGGGGCATTGTGAGCTGGTATAATTGTGCTGGTGACTTGAAGAAGAGACGTTGTGTAAGTTTGTCAGCATGCGAACGCCATGTTTTAGACGGAAATACAGACTCGAATTGAGAAATTTGTGACAAACTACGACAGAACTATAATTTAAATTTTTAGAGATTATTAATTTAGTACATTTGAAATAATTTAATCTTTTCTTCAACTAAAAGTACGAATAAAATAGTGCATATTATTTCTGTAGTTGCCGTAAATAAATTAAACCGAGTTACAAAAAGAGAAATCATACGATTTCTACCTGGCGAAATCGAATTCAAATATAAGCCGCTGTGCCCCCTAAAACTTGCGAAGCAAACAGCTTGATGAATGAATCGGCAAGGGAGTCTAAAAATTGCACTCCAAATGCCGTTCATCATGGCCTATATTCGTAGTGAATTCGATTTCTGGTACTCCAAATAAAGTAAATAAACAAAACAAAATTACGGTATTATATTTTGATTTGATACAGAACAGCAACAAGCCGCATTTATCGATCTTCTTCTTTTGGTGTCTATCCTCTGTGGATGTTGGCAATTACGTTGGTCCATACAACTTTGTTGACAGCTGCTCTATTTGCTGCTAATTTGTATATGCACACACGATAAAATGTCAATAAAGGTCGATTCCGTCGATAAAACCGTCTTAAAATTTTTGCTCCTTCTAGCCGAATAAACAGTTCATGATACCTACCTACTTTAATTTTCAAAAGAAATACTCTAGTCATCTCAATGTGTCTATTGTTTTAAATATTGTTGAAATATTAACTTATTTCCTATCCTGTTAAGTTTTTCTGACAATCCTTTTATGTATATTTTTATTTTCCTCATATCGTGTATCGTCAGATTAATATATAGTAATGAAAGAAACAGATGCTAAAAAGAGAAAACAAACAAACAGTTCCTATTTTATTAAATAAATTTTCAATAACATATCGAGGATAGGTAGGTAAATCATTTATAATTTTATAATCATATATTACCTACACATAAAATTAGAGATCGATGTTAATATCGAGTGTGAACTAAGAACTAATACCATGTAGGATAGTGATAGTATAAAGTTGTTTACTGATTTTTGTCATGATTTACAATAAAATTACTACGAGTAAATTTTATTGTCATAAAGGGGAAGGATAAAGGAGAAGAAACTACAATAAAGTTTTTTCAGGAAAGCACCTCAAAAATATTGAAAAGATTATTTTTAAAGTCATCTGCTCTCAAATTTATAATATATAATATGTTTGAATTGTCATTATGAATGAGGTAGATAAAATTAAATTATTAGAAGAATTTTTTTGTAACAAACAAAACAAAATAATTTGAAATAGAAACTTAACATATTTTCTGAACTGAAATAATTCTCATTGAATGTATTAAAACAAACACTATTAAAATGCCACAAAAAAATAGTTTCAGAACAATATTATTGCTCAGAAACGCAAATTTAAAAAGTAAAGGAATACATTATAAAATAACTTCAACTGATTTTAAAATTTTAGAATATTCTAGATATAAAAAATTGACTAAAAAATTTTAATACATGATGCGAATGACAGACAGGAGGTCGGAGGACAGTATTACCATAGTATAAAAAAGAAATAGTATGGACACTCGACAGGCGGGAAAAAGTACGCGCATCATTTAGCGCAGGCCATATCGCCATATTGAAAACAGACCGAACGCTAGTGACACCCGACTGGTATTAATGTGACGTGTGTGTAGTCAAGTCATCTGTCGTGATTTGTTTGTTTATATCTCTATCGTCGAGTTTTATTTTTCGTTTAAGTCTAAAAAAACTTGGGGATATTAATTTCATTTTAAAATTATTTTTATAAAAATTTAATTTATGTAATTTAATAAGTGTTTAACAATATTTATTAATTATTTAATATTTAGTTTTAGTATTTATGTTATGGTTAGGATATTTTATGTTGTTAATTGTTTTGTAAAAATGGAAACATCCCGTTAATAAATAAATAAATAAATACTAATCCTGGTTTTATTTGCAAAAAAAATTAAGGAATTGATATTTCCAGTTAGGAAAATGGTAACCTTTACAACTGAACATAAAATTCAAATTATTAAATGATATTATTCTGGAAGTAGGGCCAACAACGTAATCGCTACGTTTTCGTTTTCATTCGAAAGCCCTGTACCATCAAAATCTGCAATTCACAACATTATTTTTAAATTTGAAAATTAACCAGCTCGTGCAATTAATGAAGAACAGGAACAGCCTAAAACTGCCGTAAGTAGTCTAACTGAAATCAATTTTCCTTGTAACAGCACGTTCTGATTTCAAAAGAAACTCGTATTACTGCTAGAACTGTATGAAATACTTTAAAAAGAAACAAGTACCATTGCTACTAAAAAAATCTTAAATTCACAACCATTCTACTAGAAACTGTAGTAAATGCAATTTAAAAAGGCAGGTAAAAAACTTATAATAAAAAAGATGGCCACTGGCTGTCTTTTATGTAATTTAACATATAACAAGAAAAAATGCATATGTTCTTTATAAAAGCGCAAATAGTCAATGTTCTTTGTCTCAAAAACATTTCACGATATTACTCGGTTAAAGTCTTTTGAATGAACATCTGAAAAGAAGAAAAGATATGAAACAGCTCTCTAATAATGATCTAAAAACCACAATCATAAAAATTTTTGGAACAGATCAAGACAAGAGTACAAGAAACCCAACTGAGGAACTTTCAAATCGACAACCTGCTAAGCAAACAAGACGTCATTTTTGTCCGAAACATAAAGACATGAAATCATGTGATGACTGTAAGAGAGCAAGTTGTAAGGAACGTAGTGTCACCCTAAACTTTTGTCAATATTGTTTTCGAAATTAAGATATATATATATATATATATATATATATATATATATATATATATATACGTATTCACTCCCTCTTATTTTTTCCGATATCATTTTTAATTGTTAAAGTTTTTTGTAAGTTTACTTTTGTTAAATTATTGTTGTAGAAGTTAACAGTAAGTCTATTTAAATTAGTTTACACACAAAATTGCCTCCCGAAATAATTTGTTGTTTTGGAATATAAGTTTTTCAGTTTCTTATTTGGCTATGGTAGAAAAGTTTTATTTTTATATAAAATAAATAAAAACATTTTGATAATAATAATTAAATTAAATTAATATATTGTCGATTGTAATTAATTCAAATTAACTTGTTTACTAACTTTGAAATAATATAAACACGTCTCTGTTCTAACCACTTGTGCCAGTCCATAACTGATCTAGTCTGTTTTCAATATGGCGTCTGGATACTTTTAGGGCGAGCGCCCACCAAAGTGGCGTGGCAGTGGCAAGTAGCAAGTAGCACGCGTCTAGCATAATGTAACCAATGAGTAACGTCATTAGAATGAATGACGTTACTGTCATTTTGATGTAAACTGAATCATTCGTTTTCATTGGTTACATTATGCTAGACGCGTGCTACTTGCTACTTGCCACTGCCACGCCACTTTGGTGGGCGCTCGCCCTAAGAGTGTCCTAACTGTTTGTGGTTAAACTGTGGTATTACACATGACATTTGACATATTATATTCAAATGTTGTTTTGAAAATGAAAACATTTTAAGATTTATTTTATTAAACTTTTATTTGCTTTTCTGTTTAGTGTTAACAATTTATAATAAAATGAGCGATAACGAAACTGGTAGTAAAGATGATTCTGAAGAGAATTCTGATGATAATCTCCACATTGTACTTGAAAGTCCTAGTCGTAAAAAAAAGCCTTCTCCAGTTCCTACAGAGTCTGAAAGAAAAATTATAGAATCTATAGAAGAGGAATTGGAACAGAAACTTGAAGAAAAAGCTGCAAGAACCAATTTAAATGTGGTAAACGTTAAAAATCTCATTAAACAGGTACTTACAAATGAAGATGTATTATCCCTAATTAGAAACGCAGAAGGTACAAAAAATGGTGAAAATATCTCTCCTATTTTTGAACCCAAGTGGACTCGATCAAAGATGAAGTAAGTTAACTTTCTGTGATACCACTATTTTATGAAATTACATAAAACATTTTCCAATTGTTCATTTTGAACAGTTAAGTAAAAAGTTTGACTACATAAAAAAGGCTGTCTAGGAAGAACTTCCATTGAAGTTTTCCTTCAAATGAATCTTGTTCTTGGTGCTCTAACTCCTATTGAAGATAACAACTAATCTAATAGATTTTTAATATGACTGTGATTCATCTGTTTTCAATTAAATTATTGAAATCTACTGAATAGTTATCTAAGCTTATATGATTTTTGATTATTATTTAACAATTCAAATATCACCACTCGTATTTTTACTTCAAATTGTTTGTTGTTGGTATGTTAACTTGATGCTCTTGAGTTTAGAAACTTTAATTGGTTTATATGAAGTTATTTCTATCAAAGATTTATTATTTTTATTATAGAGCTGAAACTTTTTGATACCTTGTTATCTATGTTCAGTGAATTTTCCTCTTAGGTGTAGTGTGAGCTTCATGGCTTAAATCTGATAATAAATTAATATTTATTGTATATTACCAAAATAAAAAAATAAAAATAGATAGTAAGTACAGCCAAGAACTTTTTATGTCCACTACAATGAGATATCATACCAAACTTAGCCCATTTTTTTACCACATTCTAATAAATTCCCCACTTCACATTTAAATTAAAAGAATCATTCCAAAGTCCATAATTTTTGCAGATAGAAAATTGTAAATGCAAAAAGTAAAAAAATAAAAGAACCCCTCAAAAATTTAGGCTGATGTTGGAGTAATATGAGTTTAATGAAAAATGTTTCCTGGTATAGAATGATATTCAGCCCATACTTTTTAGTCATTCTCTATAGGATAAAATGGTAATTCTAATACCCAAAAGCATAAACGATTTTAAAGAATTTAAGGTGCACTAAGGTATTACATTTAAGAGCATAAGCACACAATTTTGGGCCAATGCTTTTTAAATGCTTTGATTTTTTCGAATTCTGAGAAAACTAATAAGTATTTTTGAAAATTTTAAATGCAGAATGAAATATTACATTATTAACTAGTGCCGAAAGTCCCTGAAAACTTCTATTTTATTTATTTTAGTAAGTTACAGGAGTGAACAAGAAGAGAAAATTAACTGTTATTTTTAATTTCAAATATCTCATTCAAAAGAAACTTTTTGTGTATTCTAACAGACTTTCCGCCCCTTAGTAATAATGTAATCTTTCACTCTGCATTTAAATTTTTCAAAAATATTTAATAGTTTTCTCAGGAGACGAAAAAATTAATGCATTTAAAAAGCATTGGCCCGAAATTTTGCGCCTACACTCTTAAGAATGTCATCTGATAAAAAGTCACGAAAATTAATTTATCAATAGGGTTGAAATATGAAATCTTCATTAGAAACTTAGGATGGCTCTTAGAAGTGATAAAAAATTCAGAAAAAAAACAGATTTAGCATACAAATTAATAAGACGGAAATAATTTTTTTCACAAATAATTATTTATATTATATTCTTTTTTTATACACAATGTTCTTCTGCTGAATGCCTGAAGAATGTCTTTGATTAAAATTACTATTTTTATTGGCTTAAATACTTAAATTGTGGCTTAATCCCAATGTAAGTCCAGACCAACATGGTTTTTTTACCAGGAAAGTCCACTGTGTCAAATTTTTTGCAGCAGAAGCCATAAATAATAAAACTCAGCTGGATGTAATTTTTACCAACCATACCAAAGTTTTTGATAAGATTGATCACTCTATACTTATTGAAAAGCTAAGCAAATTTGATTTTGGTTTGCTTAGCAAATGTGGGGAACAGTTTATCTAAGCCATTTATGTCTACATTAGGTGTACCATAAAATAGCAACTTGAGTCCTCTTCTGTTCGCTATATTTGTTAACTATTTGCCTCACTGTGTGAAGTTTTCAACAAGCGTGTTATTTGAAGATGGTTTTAAGATTTTTCGAGAAATTTTAACTCTGCAGGATTCTGATGAGATGCTGCAATGTGATCTGAACTTTGTAAGTTGAGAACAAAATGTTTCTAAACACTTCTAAATGTCATGTTTTTACTATCACTCGAAAAACACAACACATAACATGGAGAGACTTTATATCAGAAAGTTTGGTATCTATCCATTCATGATTTCCTATAATGCTATGTTAACTTGTTTTAAAGTTCAGCGACTGGATAATAGAGGAATTTTCATTCAGCCCTTTTTATTTACTATGTTGTAAATCACATTAAATATAAAGATTGCTTTTTTATAAATAATATTAAATTTAGTGTTCCAAAAATACATCTAAGAATTAATAACAAACGACTGTTCTCAACTAATAAGACAGATTGTTCACCCATAAATAAGATGTTAGAAGAATGTAACCATGTGATAATTAACTGTGATATAGACTTTTTAAATTCTTCTGTGAGACAAATAAAAATTGCTTTTGAAACAAATTTCTAGTCTGCAAAAGTTGTTGCCTTAAAATTTAGTTCAGATGTATAGTGTTTTTTACTTGTTTTATTCTGTCTAGGTTTGGTTTTTAATATAGTTATTAGTTTTTAGCAGTAGTAAGCACTCTTTTAATGTAATAACAATCATTTTGTGTTTCAAAGGAGGTTAAATAAATAAATAAAATAGTAATTGCATTAAGATGCCACAGGAAAATAGCTTCAGAACAATTTTAATTGGTTAATATCTACATTTTATTTTATTGTAATCCATTTGATGTTAGACAGTTTTATTCTTAGTATAAGTAAGTGCAGTATTAGTTCCAAAATAATATAATTTAATTTTTAAGGCAATTATCTTCAGTATCTGGATTATCGTTACCTGCTGTAAACTTGGAGGCACCAAAACCAGTATCTGAAGTTCAGGTTTTATTTACTGAAGAGTTACAGGAAGATTCTTCTGGAGATGAATATGTCCCTGGCATGGGTGACGAAGATAAAGAAGATTTGGAAGAGGTAGAAATTTTTTTATATTTTTATAGAAACTCCTTTTATTATCACATAATGTTTCATTATAATTTTATAATTGAGGATGATTACCTAATTAATTAAAATTACATAATGTAATATATTGATTTTACAGTGGATATTTGTGGAGCATGCTATAACACCTACAATATAAAATTATAAACTGTCTAAAAGGTATCTCTATACTTAGAAGTCACCAGCTTATAAGGATATTAGTAGAGTCAAAAATAGAATTGAATATGTCTTAATAAAACATAGATACCCAAACAAAACCTTTAAATATCTTTACTGCTCCTCTGGAGAGCTGATTAGATGATTCTTCTTCTTTTGGTGCCTATCTGTTTGGGATATTGGCAATCATTATGGCTACTTATACCTTATCCACTGCTACTCAAAATAGTCCAGTAGTTGTCATAGAAAACCATATACTTGACTTCTATTGGATATAAATGGATGACAATACACAGCAGATGTTGCATATTTTTGTTGTGCAACATCTTCTGTTTTTATATTATTGTTCAGGTGCATAATAGACCTTTCTGAATCAGTTGAAGATAGTGCTCACTTTTCCTGTGTTTCTGTACAACATATAATCTCCTTGTGTCAAGGTAATCTCAAATAACTAGTAATATACTTTTTTTAGAGTGAGGATGATCCAGACAGTTCATTATTCAGTGATCCCCCTTCCATTGAACCAGAAACTCCTCCGGAACAATCTGTTGCTTCACCTGCACCACCACCCCACCATAACACAGATGCCAATACTAATTGGACCGAAGATGGTGTCTTTAAAATTCCATCTACACCTAAGGATAAGGAGGAGCCAACAGATGAAACAACAATTGCTAAGAGAACCAGGTAGGGAGTTATTTCTTCTTCTTCTTTGGGTGCCGTGTCCGTATTCAGACGTTGGCCGTCATCATGCTTACAATTTCCTGAAACCTTTCTCTGTCGGCTGCTGCGCGAAATAATTCTTCTACTGTGAAACCACACCATTGTCTAATATTACGCAGCCATGAAAGTTTCTTTCGACCAATCCATCTCTTTCCTTCCACTTTTCCTTGTATTATAAGGCGAAGTAAATGGTATTTGGGTCCTCTAATTATATGGCCGAAGTATTCTGTTTTTCTCCTCTTTATGATGTTTATGAGCAGACGTTCTGAGTTGATCATTTGAAGAACATCTTCATTGGAAGTGTGCGAAACCCACGATATCTTTAGGATTCGTCTAAACACCACATTTCGAATGCTTCTAAATTGTTTAGCATTGTGGTTTTTAACGTCCATGTCTCACAACCATACAATAGGATCGACCACACATAACATTTCAGGACCTTCTTACGAATGTTCATTGACAGGTTTCTGTTGCATAAAACTGGTTTCCAGGTCATAAAAGCCTTACGTGATATTTCGATCCTGGATATCATCTCTTCATCAGAGTCACAATTTACATTTAACCAGCTGCCAAGGTATTTGAAATGATTTACCCTTTCTATCTCTTCTCCATTAAGAGAAAGCAGACCTTGATCTATATGGATCTTTCCAACTGCCATCCACTTTGTCTTTGAAATGTTGATTTTTAGGCCTCTCCGATAACTTGCTTCACTGACTAGATTTAGTAATATTTGGAGATCTTGTAAACTTTCTGCAAGAATGGCTGTATCGTCAGCGTATCTAATATTGTTGATTACTTCTCCACCTAGTCTTACTCCCTCTTGTCTGTCATCCAAAGCCTCCCTAAAGATTTCTTCAGAGTACAAGGGAGTTATTTAAAATTATGTAATGTGAAATGTCAACATCTCAAATATCTCCAATGTTTGTGTTGCTACAAATTTAGACTTGATTAATGGTTAAATATGATTTGATTGTTTTGTTACTTATATTATTCTTTTGTTTTCAGATCAAAATTGAGCTTAAGTTCAACACCATTAGAAGTTATAGAAGAAGCATTTGTACCGCCTGACATTCCACCAGATTTGTATGAAATGCACTGTGATAATGAAGACTGGATGGATTTTCTTAAAACATTCAATAAACCTTTGGAGGAAGTTGAAAAAATTCCTGAAGAAGAAGAATTAGATCCGGAATATAATGTTTTGTCTGATGAAGAAATTGATAAACCAGACAAAGAGGAATTGAGAGTTGACAGAGCAGTTAAAGTGAGCAAAAAAGAGTTGAATGCATTGATAGCAGAACTATATGAATTTTGTTCAAATGAGCAAGCACATCTTGATGGTATGGAAGAAAAAGACTTTGATGCGACTTCTTTATTAGAAACGCAGGTGGTAGAGGATAATTCAAACAAAGTAGACACATTTGGTGCTGATGAATCAGTGGTAGGTGATACTTTACTTACTGATTACTTACTGATTATAATTTATTTACTAAAAATATCCAAGTTTGAAATAAAGTTGTCTATCTGTAGTATCTTAGTTTTATGAACCTTCTTTTTTGGGAACCTTATCTTAATTTTAAAACATTATCTTAGTGTTGTGATACAAGTACTGGCATGGGATACAAATGTATCCTGTGTATCTGTACTTTATAGTTGTCCTGGTAAGAAATTGATAGGTAAATAAAGTAAACCCAATCAATCAATCAATCAATTAGTTTATAACATTCTACGCCGTCTTCTAGTTTCCAGTCTCCATTTATCTGAGTTATTCCAAAGGTTTTCTTTAACTCCCCTCTCCCAGAAGTCTTTATTGATTCCTTCTCTCCAACTTAAATCTGGTCTACCTTGCTTTCTTCTTTCATGCGTTGTCCAGTTCAATACTTTATTTGGTATTCTGTATTCATCCATTCTTTGGACGTCTCCATACCATTTTAATTGATTTATTCTGATGTCCTCTCTTATATTGTGCTTAACACCTATAATTTTTCGTATTCTTTCGTTTCTAATTCTGTCTAATCTTGATTTTTCAGCCGCTCTTCCCCAGAAGTCCATTTCAGTTGCTTCTAATGCTTTTAAGTTTTTTCCTTTCAGTGGCCGTACCTCATTTCCTTATGTAACAATGCTTTTTATAATGCTGTTATAGATTTTTTGTTCGTTTTCTTTGGAGATTGTTTTGTCCCACAATACACTTTTTAATTGCCCAATGGCTTGTCTTCCCTGGTTTTTTCTATGTTTAATTTCTTCATCTCATTTGCCATCGTTGGTTATTTGCATGCCTAAATATTTGTATTTTTGATAGCGATTTATTTCTCGCTGTATTTCTTCCAAGATTAGATGTCCATTTCATGCGCTGCCTCGGTCGTCCCGCTTGGGTGAGCGCCGGCTGATTGGTATGGTTTGACTCGCTTGTGGTTGTTCTTCCGACGCCGTCTGAGCGCCGGCTCCAGACGTGCCCTGGTGGTCCCCAGGCAGCGACCTTAAACACAAATTATTTAACTCCATTTTCATGGGTGTGCATTTATACCTACTACCAGGTGTCAGTTTTTGTTCCACGGCAGGTATCTCTGCTACCCTTTGGGTATCGCTTCTAAGAATACCCAGAGAGCGTCTCCCATTCGCAGGGGACCGCGCCTGATAGAAGAACTGAATAGAAGAACAAAAAAACTCCCACAGTGAGTCATTATTATTATATATAGCATATTATTGGCCAGTCATTGGACATATCTCCACATTTCTAACCCCAAAGACGCTTATTATTAAAACGTTTATAACTAATAATAAAATGTTTTTAGACTAAAACGGGTGTGTTTACCGATATGCAGATAAACTTATTGGAGCAACAAATGCGACAACATGTGCAATTACTGACACAAAACTTTATACTCACCTACGAGCATCCAGAGCTTCACGAGCATTCTAAACAAATGAAGGAATATTTGGTAAATATACATATAAAAATACTTTATATATCTTGTGAGTTTTATAAATAATTGTACGGGGAAGAAATGTTTTTTTTTTCCTGTAACTTTCAAGTTTTAATTTCAAAGTGTTTTAGCTTCAAAACTTCAAAATAAAATGGACAACCAAAACTCGAAATCTGATAATATTGTCAGTGATTTTTCTATCTTAATTTCATCTTTCTTAAGTCCTAAACACTTGGTGGAGAGTGGCTAAATACATGATAAATAAATTCATTTATCACCACACTAATCCACCTCGTTATAATCAAAGTAAACTCACCCTATACTACGTAATACGAACTTCTGTTATTGGCTTACTATGTTGTTTGTTTATGAATTGTTTTATAAAAATTTTACTTCTTATTAATAACAATTGGTATTTAAATTTCTAGTATAATTTGAAATATTTAGCTGGCGATAAGGAAGAATCAAAATTTTGCGCTGTTAACTTAGAAGAAGCTATTGACTTGATATCATCTTGGGAAGAGCTAGTCGCTTCTAATACTGATGATGTAAAGAGAATGAAAAGGTAAAATAACATTCAAATGATAGTGATTGCTGTGTATTAATTTTTGCCTTTTTCAGCCATGTCGAAAGCACTATTAACAAATCGTAAGTATTACTTTTATAATCTTGAATCTGTTGCCTGTGTAAGTCCATTTCAAATGGGTAAAAAGAAATAAGAATTAGACTTACAATCAATTTATTCTACCACCAACGGTGATAGAATCAATCAATTTATTCAATTTGTTCAGGTCAACGGTATACGGTAAAATAAATTCTGAAAATATAATAACCCGTATTAGGGTACTGTCTGCTGCAGAATATACAGCAATTATGCCAATATTATGTGTGTGATTATTAAATATGAATTTAAATTGATTAAATAAAAGTTAAGTGAAAAACGACATAGTATAATTGAAATTAAATAAATAAATATTACTTACTAAGTACAAGGGTGCTTCAAAGTGACCGTAATACACTGATGCAAAAAGTCTTCCCCCGGTCAGCGGGGAACAAACTTCACTTCATGTGAAGAAAAAAATTCCAACAGTCTAAACCAAAGAGATGATGCTCAAAAGGCTTCCAACAACATGGAAAGCGGTATTAAAGTAAAAGCAAAAAATACATCAGACCACAAGACCTACTAGTAGGATCCCGCCTACCCACATGCGGGCAGGACCAATCACCAGAAGCTTTGCCAAGGATCGTTCGAGAGAAGCGCGCCTCGATCGACTATAAAAATAAATGCATCTGCCTTCGACCAGGAGAGTCAGTTAATTTTAAGCACTAGCAAGAAGCGCTAATACCTGACTTGACAATGGCAAGTGCGACCTTGCCGAAACGTCGTCAAAATAATGGTTTTTGTCAAAACCAAAATTATTCAACGCGGAGTCAAACCCGGAAAACCACAGAAAGCACATATAGCTCCCGCGAAAATTTAAGCTGGATTTATAGTTTGACGGACTGTAGACGCAGACGTACTGGAAAAAGATCAACATAGACTTTTGTGTACTCTTATTTATAAATGAACGTAAACGCAAGACGGGACGTAAGCGAAACGGACTGTAACGGAAGAGTTGGTCAACTTTCATCTTTTACAGTGCGTTACTTGGGTCTGGCCCACGGTTCCTAGACTTACTACGGTTGCCTCTTTCGCCTAACCAATGAACATTAAGCCGGATTGTACTCCTGTGACGTAATTTGAATCTTAACATTCAGCCCTGTGATTGGATGGATGTATCAAAACAAAAATGTTTTATAAATAAAGTAGGTTGACTTCATGTAATCAAATGAACTATTTTACAATAAAGCCAAGTTAAAGTTATTTATTTATGTTAATATACAATAAAGTACTTACATATGTCAAAAAATAGTATAAAATAAAAATTAACATATTAAAAACATTAGGTATAATAATGCATATATACGTTAAGGCAAACATTACACAGAATATTATATTCTGGGTTCCCAGGTATACACAAAATAGGATTCATCATCATCAATACACAAGCCAGTTCGAAACATTAAAGTTAAAATTTAGGAATTCATCACTTGAAAACTGCTTCCCCTTCAACCAATGGACTCTTTGCTTCACCACAATACTCAAAGATATCATTAAGGTTAATTTCCATTATTAAATGATACAAATAACTCGTCTTAAACCAAACTAAACATGGAAAAGCAATGGTAAATATTCGAATGTTATGTTTGTTTTTGTTTATACCATTTATATCGGCCATGACACTGCAATCGACCTGCCCTCTACATTCAGTTTCAATCGCGAATAAATGGGTTTTGTATTCTTGTGTACTCCTGTGACGTAACTCAAGCATCCCCACCACAGTCGGAAGAGGCAACCGTAGTAAGTCTACGAACCGTGGGTCTGGCCAGTCAAAATGAAGGAATTTTGTGCTGTCAACCAAAGTGAACTGTCTGGACCGCCCACCATTTTGTAAAGTTGCTTATAAATATATTCGAATTTTGATTTTGTTGATTATTTGTTACAATGGGTGTTAAGAATTTATAAAATAATAATAATAATAATAAAAGGATATTATAGTATCATTGTCACTAGTCTAGAAACTGTTTCTACCCATGCGCAAAAATTCCACTCCGTCGATTTTTAAATTGAAATAATATTTATAGTCCGTTTGTCTTCAGTGCGTCTACGTCTACAGTCCGTTAAATTATAAATCCAGCTTTACATATGAATTTTTTTAATCTGTGAAATTTAATTTATTTTTCAGATTAGAGTATAGACAAAGAGGAGCCGAATACATAGTAACATTCCCTTCATTAATATTGGAAACCATTTCTAGCAGTTGTGTATTTTTATATCCGACTCTTCTTCCGAAAATTCCTTACAAATCACCAAAATATTTTCATTCAACCACATTTACAGATCCTGAACTACAGTAAGTATTCATATTTGGATTTTGTTACTTTTATTAGAACTGTCTACTCAAAAATGCATAGTTTAAAAGAGAAGTGGTATTGAGGTCATATAATATAATATGTAACATATATTGGAATGTTAGAATGAAATATTCTATGGATAAAGGCAGTCTGACATTCAAAATCATGAACTAGTAACAATTTTCCCTACAAGAAAATAACTATGATATATTTGAGAATTGGTGTGTATTCCATAACAGCTCATTTGATTACATATGAGAGCTTTAAATAAGAACTATCTAAATTTTTAACTATAAGACTGGATTATTTATTCTCAACTTTCCCAAATTTTACGACCTTTTGAAGAAATAACAAGTACAATGAGTGGCCAAAAATACTTGAAGGGCAGTTCAGTGATTGTTATGGTACGCTGCCTGCAAGAATCTTGCAATAAAATTTTAGAAAAAGGTAACCTTACATCAGTGGTCGCCAAGCTGTCTATCGCGAGCTACCGGTAGCTCGCGGAGGCAATTCTGGTAACTCTCACAACGATTTTAATTTAAAAAATACAAACTGCAAAAATCAGAGAAGCTTCCGGAAATTCCACCAAAAAATCTAATTGTCATAATATTAAACATAAACAGCGGCAACGTTGCGGAGAGCGATCTGCCCCTGACGCCGTCAAACTAGAATCGGCTATTTATAGAACCGACCAGCCGGACCAGCGCGTTTGTGTTCGAGAACGATCTGGATTGCTTTGAACGGGATAAATACGCACGGTGCGGCGACATTGCGCTTAGTTTAAAACTGAACGAGTAACCAACGTCCAGCGGTTGGATTAGTAGAGAACAACAAAAATATTATGGCAAGCAGTTGTAAGAAGGTAAAGACATACCACTTTCATTTGGAATGGGTAGAACAATACTTTTTTATAGAAGTTAAAGATAAAAATGTGTGTTTGTTATGTAATACTTCGGTCTCCGTTGCTAAAAAAGGAAATATTAAGAGACATCATAAAACTGTACATTCTAATTTTGAAAAATCATTCCCACTACATTCTGCCGCCAGAAAGGAGAAACTGAAACAGTTAATTGGACAACAATCAATATTTTTAAGAACAGTCGACAAAAATAAGGCTGCAACTGAAGCATCGTACCGTGTGTCCCAGATAATTGCACAAAAAAAGAAACTTTATGAACACGGGGAAATATAAAACAGGCGTTTTTAGAAGCTGCTGATTCGTTATTCGCCAACTTTAGAAATAAAGACGAGATAGTTTTAGCTATAAAATATATGCAACTTTTTGCTAATACAGTGATGGGGCGTGTAGAAGTAATGAGCAATGATATTTTTTACAGTTAAGAACCGACTTAGATAACTGTGTTTATTTTTCACTTCAACTGGATGAATCAACAGATGTCGTTGACACTGCCCAGATGGCCGTATTCGTCAGGATGGTTTTTAGTGATTTTACGATTAAAGAAGATCTTTTGAAGTTCATTCCATTGAAAGTACACACTACTGGACAGGAGTTTTCTCATTTAAAAAATATTATTTCTTCCGAGAAAATTCCAATATCGAAAATGGTAGGCTTGACAACCGATGTTGTCCGAACAACCGAACTCCAGCTATGGTGGGTTGTGATAAGGGTCTGGTGGCGTTATGTCGTAAAGATGAAACTTTTCCGCAATTTCTCTGTTCCCACTGCATTATCCATCAGCAAGCATTATGTGGAAATTTCCTGAAACTAAACAACGTTATGAAACTGGCGGTAAAAATTGTAAACAAAATTGGAGCTCAAGCGTTACAAAGAAGATTATTCAGAACCTTGGCCGATGAAGTTGACTGTCAATACGTGGACCTACTCCTTCACTCTGAAGTCCGATGGTTAAGTAAAGGGCGGGTGCTGAAACGTTTTAATGATGTCCTATCTGGCTTAGTTCAATTTTTCAAACAACGCGATGAACCGACTCCGGAACTAGAAAATTCAATCTGGCTTAGAGATTTTGGTTTTCTCGTGGACATTACAGAGAAATTAAACGAACTTAATTTGCAGCTTCATGGGAGAGACAAAGAACTAGCGGAAATGATTTCTGATATAAAAGAATTTATCAAAAAGCTGGAGTTTTGGGAACAAAACCTAATTATCAGCGATTCCAAGCATTTTCCTATTCTTTCAGAAAAAATATCTCAAAATCCATTAGAACCCTATGACAACAAATATCGTAGAAATAATTTCTACCCTGAAGAGTAACTTCAAAAATCGTTTTAAGGATTTCAATGAAATGGCTTTAGTAGCACAGTTTGTTGTTTCACTCTTTATGGAAATTGATATCCAGCAGTTTGCAGCTTATGTTATACAGAACTTTGGCGAAGACATCGCTGCAACAGAAATGGAAGTCATTGACTTTCAAAATGATTTAGCCTTAAAATCGTTAGTCTCAAGTACTGAATGTATCTGGCCTATTGTAAGTAAAGACTTATATACAGTTCTATGCCGTGTTGCTTTAAAGTGAAAGCATTATTCAGTTCAACCTATTTGTGTGAATCTTCTTTTTCCGATATGAAGTTTATTAAGAACAAATATCGCAATCGACTGAGATGAATATTTGGATAATTGTATTCGAATGGCTGCATCAAATTATACTGCAAACATTAAAAAAATTATCGATGAGTCTGAGTGTCAGCCTTCTCATTGAACGTGCTTTTTTAGTTTTCAATGTTTATGTTTATGATAATGCGTTACTTTTTTTGTTGTTATTATTAACTATTTTTAAATCATACGTTACATGCCGTTGTGGCTGGATAAAAGTTTGTGTTTATTTTTCAAATACCTTCGTTTGATAGGTAGGAATGTAGCTATGAACAAGTATGTACTAGTAATATTAGTTATTTTGTTATTAGTTTATTATTAGTACCTATGTATTATGTATTACCTGTTAAACAGTAAAATAAATACATATAATGATAGATTAACTGGATTATTTCATTTACGTTGCGTTACGTGGCTTCCATGTGGGTAGCTCGCTGTTTATTCCAAAATTAGCAAAGTAGCTCAACACATTGAAGAGGTTGGCGACCACTGCCTTACATCCATAGTATCCGACGTAGTACAATTACTAAAATCGGATTTAGCAGAAAGATTTAGAGGGATAGAATAGAGTGGCACATTGTCATTATGTACATTTATGGATTCACGATTTAAAATGCAGGGATTTTCTAATAAAAATGAAGCTAAAAAAACAAAAGAAAGAGTTAAGAAGCTAACTGGAATTGAAGAGGATGGATGAATGGCGATGTTGCCAAAATTATCTTGTTTTATTGGATATTAGGTTACAATTTCGTCAAATAATAATGCGAATCTGTAAATTTCTCATGGATTTAAGAAATTTTGTACCAGTATTTGTGTCAATTTGTTTTTAATAGCATCATCCAGTTTTGAATGGCAATATAACCGCCCCACTGATCGCCAATTGTTTTAATTAATTCAATGTTTTAATTAAAATATGTAATAAGGCAACCTTGCCGCTGTTTCTTAGGTATAAGCTGGATCGGAAATAATGGGCGTCTATGAGAAATGTGGAGGGGAGACTAAGGGGAAATATGATTGTTATCTTTGTCTATTCGTTGAAAATATGATTTTATATCTGTGTTAGATATCCTGTTAAATTCTACTATACCGACCATAAACTTTTACCTACACTGTATATAAAAGAGGACATATACTTCAAATGCTGTACCATTCCAGAACAAAATGTGAAGATGTGAGTGAGGAACAATATGACATCTGGCAAAACTAGGAACTCTGTAAGCACTCTTTAGTCAAAGAAAATATCTATATGCGTGTTTTATGAGAAAGGCTTGATCATGGAAAACTAATAGATTTACGATAAACGGATAAAAGTATTAAATACTAAAGAACTAAATGAAACAGACGTAGAATTCATAGAAAATTTATATTGGAATCAAGTAGTGTCATTTAAGTGGTTAACGATAGCACAGATGAAATTAGCACAAAACGTGGTATTCGACAAGGATGCATTTGGTCTCCTACTACTCTTCAATTTATATTAAAAACGTGTATTTCAAACAGCCGTATGAAATAATACCGATGGAAATTTTATTTCTCCATTAAATGTTTTGTAGTTTCTGGTGATTCTTTAATATTCTTATTTATATTTTCAATACCTTTTAAACAAGATATGACTGCCATAAAGTCCCATTTAAAATGTCTGATATTATTAATTACATTTAAAATTATTTTATAGATTAATTTCTATAGGCCTGGAACAGTTTATGCCACTAGTTACTGAAGAATTAGGGCAAGGGAAAGTTGCAAAGAAAAAACTGTATTGGCATTTGTCATATTATATACATGAATATGTATTGCCAATAAAAACTCCAAGGCAAATACAACTGGTTCTAAATAGGTGCGAATATTCTCGATGTGGTGATAATCCTATCAAAAATTTCCTAACATTTAAGAAAGCCCCATCCTATGTTCAATTTTATATTCCATTAGAATCGCTAAAAATATTTCCTCCCTGTCAACGAAAACCAGAAGAATTACCTTATCAATGGCGGAATTTCTGTTTTCCCTCTCATGTAAGTATTACAAAAAAAAGTTATTTACAACATTAATATTAGATAATATAAATAAATCATCTTATTTTATTTATACGCCACTGATTTAAATCTGAGGGACATTCACTAAAAATTGCCACAATGTTAAAACTGACAGTGACAGTTAATATTTTAGGTTATGCGGGATTGTCTGAGTGACAGAGATATTTTAGCGGCCATAAAACGAAAAAAGAAGAAGAGATATTTCAGCTTTTTCTAATCAATGTTTATTTACTAAATTTATAATATACAAAATTTGGTTGTAGAATATAACTCCGAATCCACCCCCAACTCAAATAAACTCATTTGGAGGATTTTTGTTACAACCAGCATCACAACCACTGTGCAATAGTCAATTGATATTATCCAATAATACCAAACAACTTATATTACCAAAAGGTGTAATAACTTCAACTCCACGGTCTGTAGTACAGCGAAAAAAATCTTCAAGGAAACGCAGCAGAAGGCAAAGTTTGTTTAAGTCAAGATTGGATCATGTCAAACAAGATCCAATATCAAAATTTGTAAGATGTTTATGTGAACCACCACAGATTAGCAGAATCCTAAGATTATTTTCTTCCATATCAAATTTAAGTAATACAACCGAGAGTTTTGATACAACCACAGATGAAGAGGTTAGCCCACCCCCTAAAAAGAGTAATTTAAGTTCAGGAGTTAGTTCTAAGATCAATTTAAAAGAGAATATTAGCCTGTCTGTAAGAGATAAGCACAATATGTTACCAAATATGCCAAGCTTGAGCTCTGTTATAAAAATTAATTCACAGAATGAAAATACTGATCCTGGTAATGAAGGAAAAAATACAAATTCTTTGAAACATAATATTAGCTTGGAAATTTCAGAAGAAGGAGTTTCAGATTTTCAGTCAATAAGTGAACATTCAGAAGAAAATAAAGTGGATGATAAGGTAGGTTTATAAATCTATAAATTTGTATATTATTTTTACTTACATATATACAACCAGTTGCTAAATTAAAATATTAGTATATATACAATGTCTGTGTGTGTAGCTCTATTTTGAATTCAGGAGTTTTCTATTAATTTCTTGGTTTATTAGTTTTTTTATGTAATTTCCATTTAAAATATGTCTTATTTTCAAAAGCTACTACCATTATTCGTCATTGTTTACAATTGATGGATGAAGTTTTAGTTGGGAAGCAGTTCTTAAGTAGAGTTGTAGAGTATTGTTTGCTGTAATTTTCCAACAGGTTTGTTGGAACTTAGGTAACATTACTTGGCAATAGATTATGTTCAATTTTCATTAGAAAAAGGAAAAGCCACTGCTTATATTTTTCAACAAGATGAGTTCAATACATTATATGTGAATTGTTTAAAAGTGCGTACAAGAAAATAATGTTAAACTTTTGAAGTAGCAGACAAAATCTTCTGTTTCTAATCCAACTGAAAAAAATTGTTGGGAGAAATATAATGTATTTGTATAAAAATGTTTCCACATAACCAATCTTTGATAAAATAAGTCAAGCGTGGACAAGTCTTCCAGAAAAGATGTTTTCTCCTGGTATTAATGACCAATTAGCCAGACTTTGTTGGATTTGTGAAGTGAGCAACATCATCACTATGTTACAACATGAGCATTTATCATTTATTTCATTAATCCATTGTAATGTAGAGATATTAATCCATTGTATAGAGATTGTATAGAGACTGTAAAGGATTGGACTCCTTTTCAGTCTCTATACTCCTTGTGGTAACGCAGATTTGCTGATTATTGAAGCTGAAATTTGTTGATTAATTTTTAAAGAAACTGATTGATTTAAGTAAGCTGATGTAATGAAAAAAAAAAAGAATTTACCAGAAATGCGAGGAACAAATTGCACCCAATCAGTTTAGATTTGTGAACGCCATTGGTAAGAGGGAAGCTTTATTTGGCATGCAGATCTTGTTTCAGAAATGTAGAGATGTCAGCTGTAATGTTTTTGCATGCCTGATTGACTACAAGAAGGCTTTCGATAGAGTCAGGCATGAACAAATGATGGAAGTGCTGAAGAGGACAGGGATTGATGGAAGAGACTTAAAAATTATAGCTAATCTATATTGGAATCAATCAGCGGTACTCCGAATAGATGGAGAATATACAGATCATGTCAAAATCTTAAGGGGAGTGAGACAGGGGTGCATAATTTCACCACTGATATTCAATCTGTACTAGGAGCACATTTTTGAAGAGACCCTAAAAGATATTGATGAAGGCATCTCAATAAATGGAGTCAAGCTCAATAACCTGCGGTATGCAGATGATACAATAGTGTTTTCCAATACCATAGAAGGGCTGCAAAACTTAATGAACAGAATAACGGAAACAAGTAGAACAAATGGACTGGATATAAACACCAGCAAAACCAAGCTAATTATCATCAGCAAGCAAACCATAACTGGAGCAAATCTGTATGTGAACCTAATGAGAATTGAATGTGTCTCACAATACTTGGGAACTATAATCAATGAGTCGTGGGACAATACCCAAGAGATTAAATGTCACATTGGAAATCCAAAAGTGCATTCTTGACTATGAGCTCTGTGTTCAAAAGCCATGACCTCACCCTGAAAACAAAAATAAGGATCCTTATTATGAGCTTCTCTTCCAGTATATTTAACTGGATGTTATCATATACTGAAATTAAGGCAAAAAATGTGGCTAAAGTATTGTGTTTTTGACTAAATCCCAAGTAGATATCATTTACTAGTATTGTTAATAAGAGCTTTAAGGGAATCATGTAGATTTTTTCCCTTTCCTGCCAATATTTAAGTCCCTTCTATATCATCATTTTTCCAGAGTTTTAAATAAACATAAGGCTAAAGCTATGGGTCTACATGAGTTTATATTGCTATTAGGTTTTCCAGGACTTTTAATGGGTATTATGATATACTCTTTCCGCATTATTAGAAAAAGGATTTTGTTGGTCCAAATCGAATTGAATAATTCTAGCTTTTTTATGTCCTAAGTGCATTTCATGTAAAATACTGTATGAGATGTTATCTATACTAGGAAATTTATTGTTTGTTAATTTAAAGCATTGTTCTAAGTTCTCAAAAGTGAAATACTGATGATAAAAAGGAAGTATTTTTGTTCTCTTTGAATATTTCTTGGTGGGGAGGGGAAGGGGGGGGGGTTAACATGAAATTCACCAGCGATTTATCATTTAAATCATCAGTGATTGGGATAAATATGCCCTTTATGGTTGTCAAGACATTATACCATTTGAACTTAACCTAACCTTGTTTTATGATTATTTTAGGATAATTCAGATGGGAGCACTATTTTAACTTCTACACCGTCTACCACCAAAACTACAATAACTAGAAAAGAACTATCTGGCGCAGAAAAGAAAAGAGCCAAGATGAAAAAAGAATTTTTAGCTAATTTAGCAATTTCGACTCCTGAAGATTATGAAGTTGAAAAAGAAAAAAATAAAAGTAAGTATTATAAAAGATGCACTGAAGCTGCTACTCTTTTATATAAATAATTGTATGGAATGATATGTATTTTGATAAACAAATATAAATTTCAATATGTTACCTGTTGAACAGTTGAAAATGGCTCCAAAGCCTTCCATTAATTTTTCTAATTTGAAATACTCATTTCTAATACTAACACATTTAGCACAAGTTGTTAAGTTGTTGTGCTTGAGAATTCAATGGTTTATCAGGCATACCTAATAAATCAAACACAAAGGTAACTGTTAAGATGTTATAACAACTCTTTCTTTAAAACTATGTATATTCAAAGTATGAAAAAGGATTGAATATTTAAATTACAAGAAAATAATGTATAAACACCCTACAAACACTTTGAAAACAAAACTTACAATTGCCAGTAGGTGAATCAATCACAGACAATTTTTAGTCGTTGAAAATTACATATTTACCATTTAGTCCTTATGATTTAAAACCTGGAGATATCTATATTACGTTTTTACATGAAAATTATTTTCCTATAATATTAACGATAAATTAAACATATTATTTTTAGTGTTTGCATTAGCATACTACGACAAATTGCGAGAAACGTTGGATTTACAAACTTATCACAAACTGATGCAAATCCTTAATGACCATGAAAAAGGCGATGCTCTAGAACTCTACTATAAAGTTGAAGCTGTTTTACTTCCAAAATACAAAGAATTAGCGGATGAATTTATTCTGTTTCTTCGAGAAAAGGAAGCTGCTGCTGTTGGTCGCCTAATTCCATGGATTCAGATGAATAATCGTTCAAAATTTTTGAGAAAAGTGGAAATTTTTTTTAAGGATCAACCGGCTCAGTTGCGGAAGATTTATCAAAGTATTACAGAGTTGTCACATACTGTAGGAGTTACTAAGGAAAAGATGAAAGGTAGTCTAATGCCATTGTTCAAGGGAAACACAATCTTGGCAGATTTGTTTTTACAAAACTTCATGGACGAGCCGCCCCCACCCAGGTAATTTCTTTAATTATTATGTAGTATGCAAGCTTTATCCTAACATATTATTGATAAAATTATTTCTAAGAGTTAAAAAACAGCATGTATACTTATAGAGCAGGGGGTTTCCAATTTTTTTTGGTCTCGGAACCCTAATATTTTTTTGGCGGAACCCTAATTGACAATATTTTTTTTTGTGGAACCCTATTTTGATAGTCGCTCTACATCTCCGCTGTCCATGAGAATGTGCGTAACTTGAGCCTGCACCAGTACAAAATTCAACTGACCTAAGAACTGAAAATAAACAACCGTAGATATCAATGTGTGTTCGCTAAATGGGAAACTGACTCTAATTTTTATCAAAAAATCATCTTTAGCGATCCATTTTTGGATAAAGATCTATGGGTATGTTAACAAACAGAATGGACAACGACCAAATTTGGTTTCAACAAGACGGTGCTATGTGTCACACAGCTCATGCCACATAGTATATTCTGTATGAGAGATTTGAGGGCATGATCATTCCAAGTGGAGGTAATTGTGAACTGACCACCGAGATCGTACGATTTGACCCTGTTAGACTCTTTCTTGAGGAGTTCCCTTGAGTCGCAGGTATAATGAGAATAAGCCACAAACCACAGCAGTTGTCAAAGCCAATATAACCCATGCCGTCGGTCAAATTCAGCCTGATATGTACGCCAGAGTCATAAAAAATTCCGAAAAATCATGAAAAAGTCACGATGTTATATTCCATATATAATGTGATTGAAAGGCTTTTCAAACGAATAAAAAATTTCGATATCTCACACATCTTATATTTGAGTTTAAAGAAGGAAGACCTTAAGCAGTCTAATATTTGTTTAATTCACCCAAGGTGATTAGTCGCCCAATTATTAAACCTAACCTAACTTATTGTTATATATTACTAATTATTCGTTCTAATATATAAACATATAAATAATTACTTTCGTGACATCACAATACCTGCTTAGCAGTAAATAAAAACATGCTGATGTTCTTTAGATTTTGATACTCGATACGAATATTTACAGGGCAATGTAAGGGTTAGATCAAGACAAGATTGATCTTGCTGAACAAAAAAAGATACACTGACAAACATTGATTGAAGGTCTCGTTTTACTTAAAAAGTAGCGTAGAAAGATGAACCCGCCATATCCTAAAAGGTAATGTTGACTATTTATGTTTTAGTTTAATGGAAGGACCTTATGAGGTAATCGATGTCAATAAAGAATTAGCTGCAAATGATGATGAGGAACCCTTTGAAACAATAACAGTACCAGATGTAGAGGACAGATATGGCGGTATTACATGTATCTGTAGTTGTCACGAAATTGAAGATGTAGAGTTTAAATCCAGGATTCGACATTGCAGTAGATGTGGAACAAAGGTAAGAGTCATCTTTCTCACTTTTTTAAATGTTTTATTTGAATCCTTTTGTAGTTTTTGAACGGCCGAGTTTATATCCAAACAGGAAGAGGGTTGAGACCAGCTGCAGTATCGTTTTTAAATAGTTCAAATACAGACCACAGTTCAAGATTATCCGAAAAATCTTCACATAGTTTTAATCGCCGAAAAAAACGATCCGATACCAGTCCTTCAAAGCAAGTGAGCCAATCTTCTGTTAAAGATAATCCTGACGAAGTAAGTAACTGTTTTAGAATGTAATGTAAAACTTGTTTTATTTCTATAGCTCTTTATAAAAGTATTTTACTTTTTTATGAACTGCGTTTCAATTATTTTAATCAAGTTATTGAAGAACCTACAACTAGAAGGAATATAATATACATTCTTTATTAAACGATATATACACTACTCGTTATATAAATATAAAAATAAAGTCGTGATTTTACTATTCTGTATTACTGTCGGTAACGTAAAGGACTCTCAGCTCCCTCAGGAAGGGAGAGTTCGTTGACCGCTCTATCCATCGCTGTATTTGACCGGAGATCGTATCGATCCCGATCGGTGTCCATAGGCACGGGCTATGTCACCTTTAGCTAAATATAAATGTTTATTGTGATAAGGTAATAAAACACGCAAATATAAGAATAATCAAAATCTTAATCTAAGAATCTGAAAGGGAAGTGGTAATTATCTCCAGGTCGTGGATCTGGGGGATAATTACGCAATTAATTTAAGCCTAAGAATCTGTAAGAGAATTCTAGTTAGTAAATGATCGTAAATCAAATTTATATGCAAATTATGAAATTAATAAACATAGGAAATTTCCAGCTGTCAAAATTTAAGGGATATTTCCAAGTGTCGTAGAGACCTAATTCCTGCGGGTATATATAAAGGGTAATGCCATTCGGCAAAATCAACAATAAAATTATAATGAAAAGACACTGTAAAAAAAGTTATTTAATAAAAACGAAAATTTTATTTAGAAATTTTTTTAAGTCGATAAAGGTATAAAAATGGTTAAAATAATATAAGATATTTCCTGAAAGAAAATAAATAAAATAAACATAAATATTCAAATTATTACAAATATCGACAAAGTCAAAAGTTATATCAAATTTATAACAGTGTATTAAACTGTACTGTACAGAAAGTACAGAAAGCAATGTACTATTACAGTTTGTACAAAATGAAAAAGTTTCGTAAAATAAATATTTACAATCTTATATTTTATATTTACAAAACAAATGAATTATTAATGTACTAATAAATTGCCTTTTGAGCATAATTAAGAGGCTACATCAGCGCGTCATCAATCTTAATTCGAGAAATGGTGGCCGCACCGTATTTCAAAAGTTCTGCGAATCTTTGGCAACAGTGCGTCGGCAGTACGTGACATTATCAAAGACGAAGGCACAATATTGTGATAATTAGAGTTCGGATCGGATTTAAAAGCATAAAGAAACGCACAAAAAGCTTAACGATTTTATGAAAATATTTTATTATGTATTTATTATATAAAAAATCATAAACATAAGCATATAAATTTTAACAAACCGTTTTTACGAAAATTAGTATAAAACATCTTAGCTTAAGAATTAGTAAGTCTTATCATAAATTTAATAATATACAGTGTGTATCAATGAAAATTTGGCCGTCCCAGAAACTCAGAAACCAAGAGTTTGTCAAAATTAAATAATTTGCGAAATAACTGAAGATAATTTTTGCTAATTTATTGGATGAACATAAGTAATAACAAAAACTATAAAATTTCATCAAATTAACCAATTTAATTTTCGAAATAACCTCCTGCCACCTCCATACAATAATACAGTATATTTTCAAAGCCCCTTCGTACATTTGCCAATACCTCCGGTCTGAATAATCGGCATTCTGTCACAATACTTTGTCGGAACTCGGTAAGATCTACAGACGGAGTAGCATATTTTTTTGATATTAGGTGAAAGGCAAAAGATCCGGTTATCTGGCCGACTACTCCATTGGACCCCTTCTGCCAATCCAAATCCCTGGAAAACATTGTTGATTTAAAAATTGTCTTACGCGTATATCATAATGTGGGGATGCCCTGTCCTGTTAGGAAGTCATTTTATCGTTTATAAGATTATCATCAGGTTCCAATGTGTCAGTGAGCAGCGGATCAATAACGACTTCTAACAAATTTAAATAAGTTGTTCCGTTGAGATTGACTTAAAAAACTAATAGGCCAAAACGTGATTCCCTAAAATTCCAACCCATACATTTAGTTTCTGAGGTGTTTGTGTATGTGTCTCAATGAATAAATGAGGATTACTGTTACTCAAATAATGACAATTATGTCTATTATCTTCACCATTTAACATAAAAGTACACTCGTTGGAAAAACACGTACAATCGATGTTGGTTGTTTTTATGATTTCACTAAATTCTTCACAAATTGGACGTCGATGATCAGGATCATCTTCGTTTAATTGATGAAGTACTCGTATTTTATAAGGATAAAATTTATAGTATTTTATAATTCGATAAACACTAGATGCTCATAGACCAGATGCACGAGGTAGTTGTCTGATAGACTGTCGATTATCCATTTGTCAATGACCCAATACCGCCACTTCAACTGCTGCACTTCAATGTCGAGAATACTTTGGTTTTTGCTTAGTGAATGCACAAGCAGTCGCAATATATCACCTAAATTAATAATGTATACATCTAAACAAATGAAGTACCTATAAAGGAAATACCTATAAAGGAAATACTACCCTGAAAATTGCTCGCTTGATCCGAGCTCTACTTATAAGTTTTAACGTATATATCAAACAGTTTAGCCGTAAGAAATGAACTACAGATTGATTTATAGCATCAATTATGACGTATAACAAATAAAAAATATAAGTTCGGAAATATTGTCGCCAATGAATATCTATCTACCTGAAATAATTGGCATTTGTACTTTAGTGAGGATTTCTGTACCTAAGTATAGATTTATTACCAATATCATTTTCATGGGAAACAACTTTTCACACCTTTTATTTATGACAACAGTATATTGCTTATACTTACACTTACATTATTAAAATTTGTGGTGGTTCTAATTTCGATTTTCGAATAGTTTTAGCACGGTTTTTACTGGACCTTTATTTGGAAGGCGTGATTATAATTTTCGCTTGTAAAATTTTTGCCATTTTCAAAAATACTTATATTTTTAGAATAAAAAATCCTCCTAAGACTATATACACTCGCATTATAATTTGAAATATTTTTACGTAAAATAGACTTTTAAAACCCACAATTAATAATAATCTATTTTTTTCAAATAGTCCGACAACTCAGTTCTATTACCCAAATATAATAAATTAATTTTAAACAATCACTACTTCACTATGAATCAAAACTCGAATTTCAATATCTTGAAAATAATAGACTATTATAACAGAGCAGAATCGTGCTATCACTTACACAGAAAACAGACGTAGAAGTGCAAATGTGATAGCGGTGATTATTTCTCTACGTTGCCAACTCACTCAGTTAAGTTCGATTTCTTGTTATAGTTAATTGATTTTGGTTGATTTTAGTAATTCCAATTTGACACAAAATCTAGGCTTGGGATAAAAAAGTTTATTTGAAGAAAGTGTATTTTTTTGTTTTTCTTAATGGTGGTAAAAACTCGTTTTTGTAATATTTTATTTAGTTATAGAGTAATTTCCACTTACTAACATATTTCTCAAATTGGGCTTCATACCGCCATTCTTTACTATATCACTTATATGTGTGCCAAATATCTCGTCAAAATATTTAAAATTAAAGCTGCAATCTTGGAACGCGTTTTCCGTCTTGATGACGCGCTGATGTAGCCTCTTAATCTTATGGTGAAATGTAGTAGGTTGTTCTGCTTCTTACCTTAGACGTAACATTACTTGTCTCTAGCACTTGGTCGCGAGACCTTTGTACCAACTCTTATCATTTCATTAAAATTCACTAAGAAATCATGTGCTCTAGATAAAAGCAATCAATTTTTTATGATAAGTTTGACTATTTCTCTGACTACACAGATATCATCTACAAAGATTCTAATTTTAATATCTCTTATACTCGCATGTACATCGACGGTCGACTTGCGATACAAACTCTTCCCAACGAGTTCTTTGTTTTGTTTTCCAAGACGGGCTAATGCCACCTTCAGGTACCCACTTTTGGTCTCCGGAAGGTAAGCTAGCATTCATTTGGATTTAGGGAGTTCTTCATCAACAATTTTCCAAAAGTTCTTTGTTTTGTTGGACTTACCTCCGCACATATCAATCCACGGTGTCCTTCTATGAGTTAACTTTCTTCATATCAAGTAGCGCATGACGTTTCATCGATGTTTTATTAGGGCATTTGCCCGAGGATCGCTGCTGTCTTGTATTGTATATATTATAGCTGTTTTGTATTTCACCTACACAACCGTTTGGTAGGAAGTTGCAGCACTGCTTTTTTTTGTGATTTCCTCGTCATGAATACTTTTGATAGACATCAGTTCTCTCTCGAGAAGTAATTGTAAGTTTCCTTGGTATGATGACCTTGCTAGTGTCAATACCCAACCGCCTCATTTTTCTAAGCACCTTCATTGGACAGTTAGACTTAGTATTTTTAATATTAAAAAACATGATTTCTATTTATTTTAGGAAACAGACGAAGACGGCGAGAAAAAGAAAAAACCTAAACGGAAACCCCGAACTAAGAAACCAAAGTTAAGCGATGATACTAAAGATGTAAGGAAAAAAGCAACACCCAGTAGAGTTCGAAATTTAAGTAAAGAATTTAAATCTACCCCTCGAAAGCGAACGGATTTAAAAAAACTAAATACAATTCGTAAAGCGAAACCCGTAGAAATTGGGATTGAAGAACAAGAAGAACACGTAGAAACCGAATTAGATGAACACGTAGAAACCGAATTAGACGAACATGTTGAAACTGAACAAGAAGAACAGGTTAGTTTTACTATTACGAATAGAAATTTTACTCAAATTCACAACTCATCTGTATATTATTAAACAATGGGAGCAGACATTTTTTAATGGTCATTTATTATTCCTCAGGTGGGCTCCATACGAGATAAAAGTACAACTCACCAAGTATTTGGGTTGTTGGACCTCATTGATTTTCACTACACCAAGCTTTTGACTTCCTTTCTGAAGTCTTCATTAGGTTTTTCGTTTCCTGAGCCTTCAGATCACTTCAGTATACTGTTAACTGATCACTGCACTACCAATAGTAGAATAAGACTTCAGAGAGGAAGTCAAAAGCTCAGTGTATTGAAAATCGACATCCAGTCGATTTTCATTTTCCTAGTCCAACCTAGAAACCTGGTGACTTATTAATGTTTACAATAATATTAATATTTTATTTTATATTTTTCAATACATATGATCAAAATGTGCCATAGCATGAAAGTGTCAGATTGGTTGAAAATTAATTTTCCTTCACCGTTTTGTTTCTCATTTTTTAATAGATTGTTTGACACATTGAATTCCCTCACACCTTAAGTGTTACGTGGCTTTAAATCGGTGACCAAAGATGACATTCCAAATCACATTAGCAAATTTAGCTCAATCCAAAAGTTATTTAAATATTTAACAAAAATTTCACTATATCTGTGTGTTGATACTTCTTCTTCTTCTCGTAGCACTACTACCCGAAGTGGGTTTTGGCTGACTGCACAACTTGCTTCCATCTTGAATGGTCGTCCATAATAGTTGGGTCAGTGGGTAGCCCCATTGTTCTTAGGTCTGATCATATATTGTCTCTCCATCGCATCGAAGGCACACCCATACATGAGCACCGGTCTAATCACCGTTTTATATATTTTAATTTTTGATGTTCGTGTTAGGCTTTTAGATTTAATAGTATTGTGGAGGCTGACATACATCTGTTTGCTGCCTGAATTCTTCCTTTAATCTCTTCCGCGATATCGTTATCTGCAGTGATTTTTGCTCCGAGATATGTAAAACTCTCCACTCTTTCAAAGTTATATGGGTCTATTGTAACATTTTGCCCTATTATATCTCGTCCTTTTGTCTGTTGATGCACATGTATTTGGTTTTCTCTTCGTTTACCCTTAAGCCAGTTTTCTTTGCCCCTACCTGCAATTTATTAAAAGTCTCCTTCACATTGGTGACTGTGTTTCTCACAATGTCAATGTCATCTGCCTATGCTAGTAGTAATTTTGGTCCATTTACTAGTGCCATTTTGTTGGTATTTTCTCTTCGTTCCATATAAGTGTTATTAGTTTGTGTATTTGTCTATGTAGAGTTTCTCCTCCGTAAGGAATTCAGACAGTATATTGTCAGAGCCTGGAGCTTTTCCGTTCTCCAATTTGTTGATTGCTTGCAACATTTCATATCTTTTGGGGTCCTCTACCGGTAGGTCCACCCCAAAATATATATTTTCTCCATGTTCTTCCTCTTGATGTAACAGATGTACAGTCTTGAAATATTCTTGTCATGTTTGGAGCAGTTCTTTTTTATTTACTATTAATTCATAATTTTTTCTGAGTACAGACACGCATCTAGGTCTGAAGTCATTCTTTTCGTTTGACACTGATTTGTAAAATGCTTGACTATTTGACTGTTGCCTATTCCTTTCTATTTCTTCTTATTTCTGTTGTTCGTACTTCCTTTTTTTTCTCTCTAATTAATTTTTTTGTTTCTCGGCGTGAAGTTGCGTAGTTTTCTTTACTTTCTGCTGTTCCTGGTTGAAGCATAATGTTTCGCTTTATCTGTCTGTCATGTAGTTTTTCTTGGCATTCTCCATCAAACCATTTCCTTGTTCTCTTCCTGCTTTTTCCTATTATTAGTTCTGCTGACCCCGTAATTGATTTTTCCATTTGTTCCAACAGCCTTTCGACATCATTGCTCTGGTCTACTGTATTGAGATGCTGTTTAATTTCTTATTTGTACTTTTCTCGGATTTCCTCATTTTGCATTTTCTCGATGTTCCATTGTCCCAATGCTTCGTTGGGCTTAGGTTTCTCTGAAGATATTCTCAACCTGATTTCTGTTTATGAATGTTTTTATGTTGGAACATGTGAACATACAAGGGTTATAAAATAATAACACAATAATTTTTCACAGGTTGAAACTGAATTGGAAGAACAAGTAGACATATATACAGACGAAAAGACTTATATTAAGCCTGGTAATAGCAATGGACAGCAAAAAAGGTTGCTTGATGAATCATGTGAAGAAGGAGATCAAAGTGCTGCTGGTGAATCTTCGGGTGAAGTGAAACTTGGAAGTCCAGAACAACAAACTGCGGATTCAGAGAGTGGTTAGTGGTACATTTTTTTTTAATATCTATTAATCCCGAACCCGTTCTTTGCATGTCATTATTTAATTTGAACGAATTAAATCAAATTTTTAACTTCTGTATAATCTCACAATTGTTCTTATTTTTTTGTATTCTATTGGTTAAATATTTGATTTCTTGTTTCAATCGTGCATTCACCTTTTTTAGTGCTTTATTTCTTTACTGTATAGTTCTTGTTCCTATTTGAGCTCTTGTATTCATTTTATCATTTGTGTCATCATACTTTTCATTTCGTTTCTTATTTACTGCAGATTTATTATATTCTGATAGGAGAGTGTGACGATCTTTTAGAAAAAGAAAGACTGTATTACTGGGTATTAGAAAAAACCTAATGTTCATACATCACGCAAACATAATCCACCACAAATGATACTGGTCAGACATGAAAAAAAATTTCAAGTTACCAAAACAAATTTAAACTTTAAATAATATGAAAATTAATTAACAACAAGAACATGTAATAATGTCATACATGTGCAAAGGACTAAAAGAAATAAAACTTGGAAAATGAAAATTCATTTATAAACGAAACCTTATTTTATAATGATTCTTACTTTATTTATTTCAGAGTTTTGTGAAGAATCCTCTCAGGATAACTGTGAATCGGATAGCAATTCTAGTACATCGTCTATTATTAACACACCGCAGAGTTATGCCGATGTATTAAGCCATAATTCATCCTGGAAACGGGAAGAGGACAAGATAATTTTGGAAGTATTCCAAACCGAAAATGACAAAGATCATGCCTTTAAAGCAATAGCAAACCAACTTCAGGATAGAACAGTGGACGAAATTAAAGCCAGATTTGATACTTTGATGGACTTATTGATGAAGACTGTTGAAGATCATAGAGATTAATTGGATTTTATTTTTTCCTCGTTTTGTAAATGTTCAAAATATTTTATATTTTTTGTATATAATTTATGAATGTTTCATTCTGTTTAAGTGAGATTTAAATAAATATTTTTTGTATTATTTATTGATAAAAGTGGATAATTCAATAGATCGGATCTTTTTTCTGCAAATTTAAATATCTTTTTCAGGCGTTACAACTAATTTAAAAAGTGACATTATAATAATTAATTATATTATTTTCTATATATTCAGTCCTAATGGAAAAACTCAAAACGAAATAGATTTTATTATCACAGACAAAAACATACCATTAAAGACTTCAACTGTTCTAAACAGATTTGTTACCAGTAGCGATCATAGAATGGTACGAGGTAAAATAGAAATAAGCTTAAAGAAGAAGAGGTATAAGATGATTAAAAAGAAGAACAAATCAAAACCATGGATGAGACCATCAGATATACATAGATAGTTTTCAGCAATATATTTTCGACATACTTAGTAGTCCTGAAACAGAAAATAATATAAACGACTTAAACAATAAATTTACAAATGCCTCACTGGAAATTCAAAACAAATTCTGTCCTAGAACTCAAAAAGAAGAGAAGATTAACCAAAATACGGTAACTAATGCAGAAAAGAGGAGAACTGAGAATAGAGACACTCGAACATACAACCAAGAAAAAAATCGAACATACCATTAGGAACAATACAAGTATGAAAATATTGAGAAAAAGACTAAGAATGGGGACAAGACAGATAATAAAGATTAAAGATAGAAATGGTCATCTTACAACCAATACAGAGGAAAACCTTAAACTAGTTGAAGACTTCTACAAATTGCTGTACACAAGCAAAAAAAATTCAATAATTTTTTGACCGAAACTTTAAAATTAATGTGTACATTAAAGGATTAAGGTGTAGGTTATACCTCTCTGGATGTCTCATTACATGACCGAAATATTTAACTTTCGAATTTTTATTGTTCCCTTATTTCATTTGGTGTAAAACTTTTTTATCCGTCTTTAGATCCACAATCTCCAAATTTCTCATTAGTTAGTGTCTCTGTAAGGATCCAGCTCTCCATGCCATACCGCAATGTGAAGGATATGTAGCAGCGTATTCATCTGATTTTAAGGTTTAATTTAATACCTCTATTTGAGCATTTTCTCGAGATGTCCTGATGTCCATTGGTTGTTACTCCGTTTTGCTGACAACCATAAGTTTTGTCCTACGTATTAGTTTTAGTCCATATTCATTACTGGCTTCAGTCACTCTGTTTATAAGCCGTTGCAACTATTTTTCATTGCAAGCAATCAGTACCGTGCAATCTGTGTGTCTGAGGTTGTTGACATTAATTTTGTTGATTTTAATACCTGCCTCTTCACATCTAAGGATTCTTTGACGTTAAATTAGGAGTAGAAGCGATACAATATATCTCTGCCTCATTCTACTGCTTCCATCTTGCCGTTGACTAATTTATGTTTGCACATTGATGCCAATACAAATTTTTCAAAGGGGTCAAATGCCTACTCGAAGTCAATAAAACACTTTTATACCGGTTGTTCTATTCGTTCCGTGCAGCTGAACAGATATCGCCCTCTATAGGTTATTATATCATCACCATAAAACAGCCTTACTTAACAATATAAAAAATTTGATCTTATAGCTGCAATCCACATTTCACATTGATGTTTGTTATGATTTTAACTCGAAAATCGATAAAAAGTGCAAGCACTTTTACTACACCACTAGCAGTTTGCGATAAGAATATTACCTACCATCGTTTTGAACCATTATAGGTATAATAATTATATCAGAAAAAAAAATCTTACTACTATCTATCTATCTTTGAACTATGACCTGAATAGTCTCAAAATGCGTCTCTGGTTGCAAGATTGTTTCTGAAACCAAACTGTGTTTCGCCTAGTCATTCAGTTATAAATCCCTAACATCTGAATAAAGAATAATGTAAATTTATTGTATTAAATTTTTATTATACCACATTTAGGAGCAGGCCAACTGAAAGTATATAATATAATAATACAAACTATATCTAAGAATAAGGAGTTTATTCAGACAATTTAAACTAATTTCTGCATAATAGCAGAATTAAGTAATCCAGCAGCTGCAATTGTCTGAGTGTCATCCAAAATTTTCGAAGGATAACTTGACATGAGATTAAAAGATTGGTTCTGGTACTGAGGTCGTGCAGTTTGTATAAAATTCCTAATTTCTCCAATAGTGTGCTCATGATTAAACTGTCCAACTAATCTTGAACCATCTGCAAGTCGAATCTGTAAACTAAAATACAATATTTATTAAAATACAATTATTTATTTTTATAGTCACAAGTATTGGACGACCGCGCAAAACATGGAGTGAAAACCTTCCATAGGGGTATTAATCCGCCAATGAATAAGCAGAATTGCTTATAAAGAGGAAGAAGAAGAATGTTTATATTGTGAAAATTTTAGAACTAACCATAAAATAGGTAAAATAAAACCCCTTAACCGAAACGGCTGACAGTTTCAATAATTTCGTTAATAAAAAGTAAATTTTTATCGCAAAACGTAAACAATTCCATTTATTTTTGCAACATCGTCAAGATTGCTTTCACATAACTAAAGAATGCAATTAAATACTATATACATGTTTTTAATTTCTGTATTTAATGTTTTTTGGATGTAATGGATTCCATAAAGTTAACTTACTTAGTAGTTGGTTGGGAACTATCTAGTTTCAGTTGTTCTTTAGCTTTTGCTTCATTATTTGGTTTATCTTCTTCTTTGCATGTGCCAACAACTGCTGGTGCTGGGCTTCCTAAAGTATAACCATGTCCTTGGAAAGCTTTTAGTTTAATTTTACTTTGTTTAAAAGCCTCCATTCGATGATCTTCCATGGCTAAATGAACCTAAAAATTAAATTCTGTAATGCTGTTAAAATCAAAATGTAAATAAACCTACTTCTGATGCACCTCTTCGCAGTTCTTGGGGTATTTCACCTTGGCGGATAGAATCAAGAAATTCCTTATTGGCTGGATCTGTGTAGGGCCTTAACTCACTGTCATTTACAGTAAAACCATTTTGCCACAGTCTTAATGTTACTTCAGAAGAAGACATTGGTTCAGGAACGCCGGGACTGCTACAGAGTCATTGTCATCTTGACCCAACTTATATCCTGTTCCTCTAAATGCTCTAGAACTAGACGTAGAAGCACTTGGTTCCAGTATTTCAACTCCATGTCTAAAAATATAAAAGGTGGAGTAAAAAGAATTATTATTATATTGAATCGTACAGTAGAACACAAACATGAAAATCATTGACAATAGGGGAGAAAAAAATTAGTGAATGTGGTGAATTATCATATAAATTAACGTAACAATTCACTTTAAAAATATTTTAAAAAGTGGACGATGGAACAGGCATTTTGAAAAAGAATATATACTCTGTAAGAAAATAAAATTCATCAACACCTGGATATAAATGAATGAATGAATAGTGGATATAACACTACAGAAACGATCTCAGAACAAGAAAACTTTATTATCATGCAATAAAACATATGATAAAGCAACAAAGAGTGATATTCACTGCATAACAAGATTAGACTGGAAAGTCTTTGTTGATAGACAAAACAGAATTTATTTCCTGGTGCTATCGAGAAATTCATACATTTTAGGAAGAATACTGCAACCTCATATATCTGGACAATTCCTGGTGAATATTGGTCAAATATGAACACAATTTGTCATGGACTACAGGCTTGAAAGCTCCTATTGCACATGCAGCACCCCTACCCATCTCAAGGAATGATGTCAACATAAATGAATAACTCAATAGTGTGGAGCTCTACATTTGCTCATGGTCCCTGTATTGCACATCCATCAAAACCCAGTTGAAGCGAACAACACTGCCAAATGTAGTATAATACACTAAAATGTGAACAGCTCTTCTTCTAGGGATGTTATCCTGTTACCACTCTGTTTCCAATGAATGGGAGTAGACAAAGTTTGTTTTCTGAAGAAAGAAAAAAGCTTCCGTAATTTTATGCAATTGATTATATGCAATATTTCATTCTCCCAGAGACATATGGTAAGTCGCGTTCCAATGAGTTGCTCCGAAAAACCTCATGTGACAGTTCTACAATGCCTCTCCATTCATTAGTCACTTCTGACAACAGAAAACACAATAATTGTCTTGATGCTATTCTAGAACATGACCAGACACCAAACAACTACACAATTTTATAACAATAACAACTGAAAATATATTAAATATATCTGTGCTTAAATTACTGTGAGGTACAGTAAACCTTTTATATTATATCCTTCAGCTGAATGGTTTCATATATGAGTAGTGAATATTTAAATATACTTAATAAATGGATCACCCAAAAATTAAACTTACTCTTGCACTGACTTAAACATGTCTGCAACAAAGTCCTTCTTTTTTGGAGGTCCTAAAACTTGTTGGCCACTAGTCTCAGAGCCTCCAGCATAATAAGCTTGGCCCTCTTCTTCTTCTTCTTCACTAGAGCTATTAATAGTGTTAATAGTAGCAAAATTGGATGGTTTACCTTTGGGTTTAGGTTTTTTGACTGATACTGGAGATCTGGGAGAATCTGCCATTGATGGAACTTCTACAGTATCAGACTCTTCACCATCATTTTCATAATATCGTGCAATAGCAACCTACAAATAAATTTGTTTGAAATTTGTTTATTTGTAACATCTGTTATACAATATCTTACAAATATAATAAGGACTAATAATAAATATTTGATCTTTCAAAATTAAGTATATCCCATAGTATTTCTATAAAAGAATGGAAAAAATACAATTCTCTACAGTCTGTGCAGGTGCTGATAATTCCAATCCTCATATTGGGAAGACCAAAGCTCAAGTGAATAGACATGGCGTTGCAAGATGTTGAGAAGTTCGGTGCTCTCAACTGGACCAATTTCAACCTTCCAATGGCTCATTGATGATGGAAAAAAAATACAAATAAAATGTAAAAATTTTTTGTTTCAGTTATTTTAGTAAATTGGTTTTATAATTATAATAGTGCGGCATACCACTCTCGCCTCTACTAGATATATTTAGAACATGTTCTACAGAAATGATCTACTATACAAGAGATTTTTTCTATTAGCCTTATAATAGTTCACAGAAAATTCACAAGTTTTTGATGTATCTATAAAATATTCAATGTCAACTTTTATTATCCAGTGTTGCTAGATTTCACATCAAATTTAACAGTTTCATTTCAAGATCACCAGCTTTTCATCAGACTGACTAACAAACTATCTGCAAGTATTGATTTTAATAATATCAAAAGAAACTTTGTTCTCCTTGTTGAAGATCATTTGTAAGTATTGTCATGTATGTATATAATTATGCATTACAGTAGAATCTCACTCATCCAGCCCTCCAATAAACTGACATGTCCAATCATCCATGCTTCCCTTGACCCTTCCCATTCCAAACATGGCATATGTACTCTGTCTCATCAAAGAGTCACCTCAAAACTTATCAGGTGTACATGTGTACATAATTTACCTGCTTAAGTCAGAATATTTTAGTTAGAAATGTTAAGTAAACAGTAACAGAAGACAAGTAGCTTTGAAGGATAAAAGGGACATTTTAAAGAAGTTATTGGCAAAAGAATATGGAGTTAAATGTGCTACTATACATGATCTTAAAAAAAAACAGACCAGAACATTCTGTTTTGGAGGCTGTTTGTCAAAAAAAAACATTTGATGTCTCTAAAGAAATGAGACCACCAGGTTATAAAGTGAGTAAAGATAGCATCACATTTATGCTGTGTTCAACTGCTACTGGAACACACAAATTGGGTCTGTTACCGATTGTGATTAGTAAATCTTAAAAAGCTTTCAAAAACATTTGTCTGTCTGCTACAGAACACATTTAAATATGTACTGGGCCACAGCAGATGTATTTAGTGAATTTTTCCATAAATACTATTATGGAAAGTTGTATGGAAAATAACATTTCCTACAGTGAAAAAGATTTTGAAAAGATCCAACTTGTCCATAAAAACTTTATTTGTTCCATGTAACAATGTTCTATGACTCCCAAATTAAGAAGAACTTAGATTAGGTGATGGGAATACCCAAACCATCTTCCTACTAACAAACTGCGCACCTTTATTACAGCTGATGGATCAAAATTTTATTAAAAAAGTAAATTCCTTGTATAAAAATAAATTGCTTATCCATATTATTTCTCAGGATGGTGACATAATGCAGAGCCAAAAAAGAAAATTTAATTTTACTGATGTATTCTTTTTTGTTGAAGCATAGAGCTCTTTGCTTCTCCTGACTTAATCCAATCATCATGGAAAAAGCTGTGGCCTACAATGAATGCAGTATGATATTATGACAGATGAAGAAATATGTAAAGCAGTATAAAAAGAAAAAAAAATCTCTAGTAGAAATATTGAAGCCACCAACTACTATAACTGTGAAAGTTAAACCAGATACACCATTTGCTTCTATGTAATTAGTTAAATGGGAGATTTGTTACAATTATAAAAAAATTGTATAGCCCTTTATGAAATGATTTAATTATTATGAATTTTTCTATACAATCCTGTAATCTGAACATTCCAATAATCTGGCCCCCTATGGTTTTTAATAGCGCCAGATTAGTGAGATTTGATATTTGATATTATGTGTATATTTTTTGTAAAAAAACGGTGTAATTGTGTGTCAAATAAAATAATATATTCACTCTGTCCCTTACACTTTTTTCGTGTATTCACTAATATTACATACTTACACCTCTGAAATTGTACTGTAATTTACTTAAAATTTGGATATTTTACTCAATTATTTGAGTTTCACCAAATAATTTCTTATTCAATACTTAATAAAAAAAATTGTGTATAATATTAATGATGTTTTTAAAAGTCAACATATTATGTACTGTCACAATTGAATTTTATAGAAATTTGATCATTGTCAACTCTGTTTTGTAAATCATTTTTCAAAAACTAATTTGAGCAATGTACATTTCTTCTTTTTTATTATCTAGATGAGGATTTTTTTGTTTTTTTTTTAATAAATTTAGTAGCAATCAGAACAATATTCTATACACCAATTTGATGACTACTTATTTTTAAGGTTCTACTTGTCTCATTAGTAGGTCAGTTATTTTCAGTCTTTCACAACATTTGAACTATATACTATATGTACCAATATGTAACTTATATCTACCATATAAAATTACGCCAATAAAGAATATAAACAAAATCTCTGATATATTATAAATATAGTATTAATAAAATTATGATTAAGAATAACAAAAAATAGTTATTCTTAATAATTTTATTTAGTAAAAAGAAAAATGAGTAAAATGAATAGGTATAAAATTAGACAACAAAACAGCAAAATGAGCCCATCTTACAAACATGCAAAATAAATCAACACAAGAAGTATACCATAGTAAATTATTTTATAATCAAACATAGTAATCTAAGACAAAACAAAGTTTGATAATATCATTACAAGGAAACTAGAGACAACTGCAAACTATTAGATATGCTCCAAACCAACAGTAAAAAATATTAGGCATACTGATACAATAATATATTGCTATAAAAATAGATAAAACAGCATTCAGAGATAAACTTAGTAAAATACCTATGATCAATAAAAATAGTATGAAATTCTAATGCATTGTCTAAAAAAATTAGAAGACGAGAACAAGAAAAAATTTGTAAATTAAATAGGGATAAAATCTAGAATTTTCATTCTTTGGAAAAATTTGTAAACTAACCTCTAGTTGCCAAGCAGCAGAATCCAAATAGAAGCGAGCCCTAGTGTCGTCGGCCCCTGTTATTGAACTAAATTGAGTAATTTTCTCTTCTTGATCAGACATCTTTATTACTAATATCACTAATATTAATAAATACAAATTTTCATATCAAAAACAGAAAAACGTCTATCATCCTAATTCTAATGAATCAGCTGTCACTTTCATACTGTCATCAAAAGCAAAATTTCAGTCCTGTGATTGTAGCCCTGTTATTTCAAATTTAATGATAGTTATATTTGTATATATTTCCATGTTATTAATTATATTTTTTATTCCTATAATAAAATAGTCAAGAAATATGATATATTTAGTTAAATTTGTAGTATAATGTTTCTTTTAACAATTTAAAATAGTACAAACTCAAATGAACAGAATTTTAAAGTTGCTAGAAAATAGCTTATAGAAAAAATTTTTTATAGAGGAAACCATAGACATACAATACAGTCTATGGAGAAAACATATGATATTCTAACCTATTTAATAATTTAATACATATTAGATAACCTTAAAAAATTTAAATTTTTTTATTTTTAAATTTAATGGCTTTATACACAAGTCGTTTATTATTACAAAACCTTTTATGTAGCAGTGTAAGAAATTCCAAACAAATGGATGTGACATGCAGACGGTATGTATTTAAAATAACAAACAAGTTCCTTTAAATCAATATAGTTTTTATTTCTTTTTTACTTTTTATTATTATCTTCAGGTACAATCAAGATATACATCATAATTATAAATAACAACTGTATTTATTTCCTAACAAGCGTCTAATAAAAAGAGTACATTCTATAAAACTTAGCTGCTGGTTTCAAATTGTGAAGCTGGTCTTAAGTTAAAACATCAAAATCTTTGGAATAGTTTATGAAATTAAAATATTGAGGAGTAGATATAATTTCGAATTGTATACCATACAGAACAACAGTAGGTAGATGTAGTAGATGTGTAACAGAAAAATGTAGTTATATCAATAAAAATAATACTAAATATAATGGTCTAGAAAATAAGCTTTTGCCACAAATAATATAATTATTTTCTATTGTTTTGAGGAAGAAGAAGATAAACAAAATTTTTGGTAATCATCGAACATGGGATATCATAAACTCAAAACTGGTGAAAAGTAAAGAAAGTGACAGAGGCCAAAATACAAGTAAGAAGAAGAAACAGTAGACCTAGAAAGGAGTGAATGGAACATATCCAGGAAACTTGAGACCAAGAAAGGGCAAACAGTGCAACATGTGAAGGAAGTGACAAAAGACTGGAAGGTGTGGAAAAACTGGGGAAAAGATGGATAGAATTAAATAAATTCCAAAGCTCAACAGCAACATCAAAAAGTATTTTATTCACCTCTTGGGCTATATTTGATGCACCTTTTGGTGTTATTGGAACTGATAATGAGCTGTAAAGTTGATGTTAATAATAATAATCAATCTAAATATTTCTAATTGGAATTCTAAAGCTTGGGATCTCGTAGGAATTATTTTATTCCCTTATTGATTTTCAAGGATATTATACAGCAGAAAATATAAAAAATATGTTAAATGCTGGTAAAACTAATAATAATTTATTCATCGCCAAAGAAATCATGTATCAAATTGAATATTAATGACAGTTCTTAATCATACTTAAATAAGTGAAAAGCAATTTGAGTACATAACGAATAATTCCAAATATAAAATTCTTCAATTTATGAAGACAAAGACAGATTTTCATGCATGATAGCTAAATTTAGTAGTAGATACATATATTAAGTAGAAGATTATGCACTAATCTTTGGAAAAATGATACCATGCTCATTTTCTTGTTCTCAAAGTATATGTCATTACACAAACTTCATGTGTCTAGTATTCATTTACTTTTGTTATTTACATCCTTATGCAATTACTAAATTGATACAATGATGTTCCATGTAAACCAGTATACAATTTGTGATATTAAATATTGCAGAATTAATCACCTTAATATAATTTTAGGATATCATCAGTCATATATAGAAAAACTAGACATAAAGCGAGATTTGTTCAATGCATCTATCCAAGTAGTATTCATACTTCTTTTGTTAACTCTAAAAGACGAAAAACTGCAGAAGAACGTGTAAGTATAAAATTAGTCAACTGTTTTAATAACATATAAACTTATGTATAATTTTCATAAAATGTATTTTTCTCCAGTATTTTTTTAGCCAGTGAACCAAAACAATGTTATTTAATGTGAGTATCATTCCAAGTATCAGAAATTATACCAATGCGTTGTAAGGAGAATCAATTTGTGAATATTTTCAAGCCAGTTGTTTTCCTGTAGGGGCATGATTATATATGAGAGATTAACATTGATTATGTCAACAATGCAATGAGGCAATATTTGAACTAATGTTTTGAATTTTGAAAGGGTCAAACAAACAGTAACTGTGCAACAGAGATAGATAACATAAAGTTTCCTTGACACCTGTTGCACCTTTATTATACCTATGTATAATTCACTCCTATCCCCTATAATTTGGTTCTCTGATCTTTTGGATATTTAACTTATTCTCCCTGTGACAAATTTTTCTATCACCATGGATTTTAATTTGGTCTTCTGTCTAATAAATAATTATGTAAAAATTCAGTCTAAGACCGATATAATTATTAAATTATCATGTGTGTTTTGACATGTATTTTATAGTTGTGTAACAAAATAAAGTAAATTTTAGTAAAAAAAGTCTATTATTATTTTGTCGAAAACAGTGACTACCATGCCGTCCAATCTCCACATTTTCTCTTCAAATGGGCTATGGCCCAATCATCTTTCCATTGCGAGTTGTTACAAACGTTGGACATCAGAAATTTTATATGTTGCATTTTCACGAGTTAAATAACTCTTTATTTTAATCCAAATTAATTATATCAGGTTTAACGCGCAACGTTAAGGATGAAGTCACAAAATGGTGATAACTTTAGCATGAACCATTTTATTTACAACATGCTGACCATATATGTCACGATGCTGTTTAATGACACTTATTAGCACAGCCTTAACCATGTCCCCCGAAATTCATTTTTGTCCTAACCAACTTTGCATGTCTGCTTTTCTGGTGACCATAGTTGTCAGATGTTCTACTATGGGTTGTTGAAGCATTATCCATCGCTATTATCAAATTTAGCTCGTCTCATGAAAGGAGTTCAAACCATTTTTCAAAGCTTTGGGTGTCCATGTCTTTATGATAATTCCCCGTTTTTTGGATAAAAAAAGTATCTAAGTCAACATTATCATCTAAAAAGCCTAGCTCACTACTTATATGGACGAAAATCAGTTGTTGGCCTTTACTTGTTGGTCCTTGTAAGTCTGTTGATAAACCGTCCACAAATGCTTGACCAGATAATAAATCTTTATGTGTGCAGAACAAACCTCTCTAATAAAGCGAAGATATCTTCGTCGCCATGAGACTAAATCTTCTATTTCTATTAAGGGAGATTTACATGATCAGTTGGTACAAAGAACTTAAGAACAATATGATTCTAAAAGCTTCAACAAAAACATACTGAAGACCTTTTTGTTTTTAGCATTTATGTATATATTTTTAGAAATCACCAAGAATAATAGAGTATTCTCCAAAAGCAAAAGGTGAAATTATTGATGTATGGAGGAACATTACTTTAGAAGAATTAGCAAAGGTTATTAATAAAGACATCAATTATGTATATGACATATTTCTTAACCAATTTAATAACCCAAAAGTACCCATAACTGATATAAAATTGCTCCAACAAGGTATCACTAGAAGTGGAAGAAGGATGAGGATCATCGGTAAGTTTCAATGTTTTGTTTACTATTAGTAATTATGTGTTAAATTTTGAAAAGTATGTCTTTAGTATTCAACTAGTCAATTGATCGTCTTCACAGTTTGGACCATATCTTTTTTAGGTACGACTTGGGGCAACCCATGTATCTATTTATCTATCTATTTACTTCTTTTACTACTCTCTTATAAGATAGATTGATTGGATAGATCTCTTAATGTTTGATCTTTTATCTTAAAGGCAAACCGGAAGACAAGATAGAAGAAGTAATTAAGAGAGATACTTTTCCCAGACCTCCACCTAGCAAATCGGAGCTCAAACCTCGGCCTCCAGTTGTCACTGTTATGGGTCACATAGATCATGGGAAAACGACTTTACTCGATGCTCTCAGAAATGCAAGAGTTGTAGATGAAGAATTTGGAGGCATCACTCAACATATTGGTGCTTTCTCTGTAGTTCTGGATTCTGGTGCAAGAATCACTTTTTTAGATACTCCAGGACATGCGGCTTTTACGGCGATGAGATCGAGGGGAGCTAATTTGACAGATTTGGTAGTTTTAGTTGTGGCGGCAGATGACGGGGTAATGGAACAAACTTTGGAATCCATTAAAATGGCGAGGCAAGCGAGAGGTAAGTTATGTGTTTAATTTAATTTATGTATCTACGTAATTTTTATCCATCAAATTCTGTTTATTTATATACATGAGAGTAATACACACATACTCCAGATAGGTATACCTCTAAATAATCAAGTTTTTATTATATAAAGTTTTTATACTTGTAGAAAGGTAATTACGCCGTCATTTACGTGACATTTTATTACATGACATTGTAGTCTGCTTTAAGGAACCTTTTTTTTAATATGTTCTTGTAAAGGCATAACTTTGATTATTTGGTAAACCTACATTATACGCCACAACAAGAAATTAAACAAAAATCTTAAAAAAATGTTTATTAATAAATTCACTGTATAAATAGACATATTATGTATTACTGCAATAAAATATTAAAACGAAAACTGTACTGAACAGTATAATGTTATATATAAATATGTTGTAAAAGGTATCTCCACTACCTGTAACCTGGTCCACTATCGGAATTGAATCTCAAATTTTACCTTTTATACTTATAAGAAAACTAATAAAGTTTAAAGGGACGCATTTAATTTATTAAATGGTTGGTTAAAACTATTAAAAGATAAACTCAATTGCTAAGTATATTATCTTTTTAGTGCCAATCCTTGTTGCAATTAATAAAATAGATGCTCCAAAAGCTGACATAGCTAGAACACAAAAAATGCTGGTGGAAGCAGGTATCCAAGTAGAACAACTAGGAGGTGATGTTCAAGCAATCCCTATATCAGCTTTGAAAAAACAAAACTTAGAACAATTAACAGAAGCGTTAGTTCTGCAGGCAGAATTATTAGAAATCGGAGCAGATCCTACAGGACCTGTTGAAGCCGTTGTTGTAGAAAGTAAACTTCATCAACATAGGGGAAAATTGTGTACCGTTATTGTTCAAAGAGGTAAGGCGAGAAAATAATTTTTAAGTCAGATTTGTTTGCTTAATTCCGTATTACCGTATTATTTTAGGTACCTTAAAAAAAGGTGATATATTGGTAGCAGGAACTTCGATGGCGAAAGTTCGATCTCTTAAAGATGACAAAGGTAAATTGTTGCAAGAAGTACCACCAGGATATCCTGTAGAAATAGAAGGCTGGAAGCAACTTCCACCTGCTGGTGAACAAGTACTTCAAGTTGAGTCTGAGAAAAGGGCACGAGAAGTTCAGAAATTTAGGGAAGCAGAACAAGAAGCTGGAAAGGCTAAAGAGGACAGCAAAGTAATACAATTAAAAGAAGAACAACATAATAAGGAGTACAAAGAAAAGCTAGAATTGAAGAGAAAAATGGGGAGATTTAAGATAAGACCAGATGGTCCCCGAAAACCAGAAATTCAAGGTATTGCATATTTTACTAATTATGGCTAAATACCATATAAACACAATATTTAACTTAGATATACCACAAGGAAACAGTTTCAGAACACTTTTATTTCAATTTTATTTTTCAGATGACGATGGTACACCTTCTTTAAATATTATACTTCGCGCCGATGTCGATGGTACTTTGGAAGCTATTCTGAATGTATTAGATACATACGCTTCTGAAAGTTGCAAAATGGATTTAGTGCATTACGGAGTTGGTCAAATAACTGAAACAGATATTGAGCTGGCTGAGACATTTAAAGGTAAATAATGGAATAGATTAGAACATGAAGGAGTTGTGTGACAAAAAGTTAGTTCTGAGATAACTGCACTTACAGTTAAAAGTATGCATTTGTTTTAGATATGCATTTTTCTTTTTAAAATAACGTTAAGATACTCCTAAACAGTGTGAAATCTTTTCAATGGGTTGATAAACTACAGTACTTGTTAGTGTTGCCCAAAATCGGTCTTGGTCTTGCAGTATTGGTCTTGTTCTTGCGATTTCGCAAGACCAAGACCAACACCGCCTAATTTTAGCAAGACCAAGACTGACCGTGCAGGATATACGCAAGAACAAGACTAAGCCTGCGAGACTCTTGCGTCTTGCAATTAGAACTGAGTGTCGTTTTAGCGAGTATAGTAGTTCGGGTATATACTTAAAGACTCTATGAGACGCAAAAAATATGTAATAAAATTTGAAAAACAAAATATTCATTAAAAGAACATGTGACACGAGCTCAGAGGTCTTTGCCAGCAGACGACTTCTTCGCCCTGAAATTAATTGTCCAGATTTTGAGAATAGCCGCCCTCTAATCATAAAATAATCTTCTTATTGTATTACGACGCCGACAGTAATATCATATCGAAACTATTTAAAATTATGTCACCTTAGCTAATAAAAAATATAATACATACTGTTAAGGACACCCACTTAATAATTGAATTTTTTCCCATTATAATTTATTTAAGAGGAATCTAAATAAACAAATCTTATCGGCCTTTCAACATCGTTTCTGTTGAGTTTGCGATGAGATCATTCAACAAAATTGACGAGACACGAGACAAATTAATAACAGACAATGTCGGCTACCATGTAAACAATATACCGAAATATTTAACGAACATAAAGTAACTAATAGTTAGTAGTTACTTTTTCAACATCCTTGTTCCCGGAGTGACCTACATATAAAGGTTGAAAAAAATAAAAATAAACAGAAACACGTCGGGTTTAAGTAGAGCTAAGCTTGTTAGCTAAGCTAACATTGTTAACAGCATTTATTTTGCTTTAATAAGTGGATTATAGTTTGTTATCTTATTACTTAAAGAATTTGTGCCCTTGATACTTGTATGTGGATTTTGTGCCACATACCAATCTTTTTTAAGATTTCCATTTCATATATGGTAGGGGTCCATTAATTCCTTTCTAGGCAGATAATTTCTTTTAAAATACAGTCAAGTTTATGTCATTAATTTGGTTTTTTTTTGTGTTTTAACCATGTTTTAGCATGGTTTCCACCCCATGCTGTCAAAGTCCCATCCCACCCGGTGTCAGTTGTTTAGACATTTGTTAATTTGGTTGGTCTTTATTACAGCTATGTTAATTCAAGCTTAAAATGTACTTACTCTGTTACATTGTTCTAAGATCTAAAGTAACGTTAAATCAATAGCAATCGGCTAATGGGTAACTGCAAGACTCTTGCTGCAAGAACAAGACCAAGACCGGGAGTACAAGACCAAGACCAGGTGTATTGGCGCAATACCAAGACTGTCTAAATCTCGTCTTGTTCTTGCATTTGGGCAACACTAGTACTTGTATACTGAAATTAAAATTAAAATATATTTTTTATTTAATTTAAAATATATTTAATTTTATTTAATGAGATAAGACCACACTGATTTTTTTGTGTAATAAATGTATGCAAAAGATAAAATTAGAAATGTTTATTCTAGCAATACGTTGTCAATTATACGATAAACTTAATGGAAACTATGTTAATTAAAATCGTCTATTATACTGTACCTATACCTTCATAATACTAATAGCTATACTTTTCGTATAGGTGTAATATATGCTTTCAACGTTAGTCTACCTCCCAATCTATCAAAACTTTCCGAAAATGTTCGAATAAAAAATCACAACGTTATATATAAACTGATAGATGACGTTAAAGAAGAACTTAATTCCCGGATACCACCCAAAGAGGAGGAAGAGATTTTAGGCGAAGCAGTTGTTCTACAGGTATTCGAAATCACTCAGGATCGTAAAAAGGTTCTTGTAGCTGGTTGTAGATGTGAAAAAGGAGTATTAAAACGAGTTGGAATGTATAAAATTATTAGACAAGGGGAAGTAATCCACACAGGTTTGTAAATATTTCATCTATTTCAAAAATATTGAATATGATTTTTTTTTCTTACTGCCTAATTTTTTCATTTTCTGCTCTTTCATAATGATTTGTATATGAACTGAGCAATATGTAAGAATTTTATTGAGCATTACAAAAATAGCGTCGAATATTCATTATTACACCGAAGTTTAAGTTGTTGAATTTAATTTATTGCTACTTGCTGCAGGTTATCCTTCCTTCTAATTTGACTCTTGTCAGTCTGTTTGTGCATTGATTTTATTGCTTGTTGGTTTATTGGCATTTCATTTGTGGTCTTTTAAAGCTTTTGTTTGAATTCATTGTCTTCATTTATATATATATTTTTGTTATTATTAAGCCGTGGTTTACTCTCACTCCCTTTAACCGAGAGGATACCACGTCCCAACCTACCATACTTGTCGATGACGACAAATTTCCTAACCCATCCCAACATTTTCTATCAACCCATACAGACCAGCGTGGTAGAAAGGCCCGAAATCCTGGTAAAATGATAAACGACGAAATTGCAATGTCCTCAGTCTTCGGCATTCTCTTAAAACCAGGCTATGGTAGCAGTCTCGGATGTACAGGGACAGAGGGTGCTAAGAATCCCCGAAGTCAACCAGGCTACCTTCACAAACGACAACGACAAATAATAGAGTTTATGGCAACATAGTGTGGCCAGAATATAATTTGTGCAATTAATGGTGCTTCCCTTGTACCTACAGAATCCCTAAAACTAAACTTGTATCAGTTGTTTTTCGCATTTTCTAGAGATTCTTTTGTGAATTATTTTTATTTGAGTAAATGATTAAGCTAATGAATCTATATTTTTCAGACATTTTTGAATTAGGTTTCTTCAGAGCAACAAAGTATACTTTAGGCACTCCGGTGGTACTTTACCTATGTACAGATCTTTTTGAATATCGATATAATCCATAGTATTCTATGTTGTTCCATATTTTTTAGGAATTCCAAGTGAAACTTATCCCCTTATAAGTTCTTCGTTAATTCTCAAAAATAATTTGTATTTTGAGAACGATATCCAAAGTGGAAGTCTAAATATCAAAATAAACGTATTTTAAACTGAAACCGTGGTTAATTCCCATTAAAAATAATAAATACCATTTGTAGTGGTGCGATAGTTTTGACTTAGTGTAAAGAATATAAAGTGTAAACATATTTTTAGTAAAAAAATACTTATAATTTCAGGTAATTTATCTTCCATGCGGCATTTAAAGAACGAGGTTGATGTGATTAAAACTAATACGGAATGCGGTCTGCAGTTTTCTGCTAAAATCATATTTGAACCAAATGATGTAATAGTCTGCTTTGAAAAGAAATTAGTACCACAAAAAACTGATTGGGATCCAGGATTTTAATAAAAATGTTTTAGTTAGGTAGTAAATTATGATTTTTGTAAATAAAGTGTTACCAAAAATAACAGTAAGTTTTTTAACCATAAATAAATCAATAACTAAGAAAATACAAGAGATTTAGACAAAAAATGCTAGTATTCAGGCAAAATATTTTGTAAAATTAAGCTGTCGTCTATAATAGGTTCTATTATTAATATATATCCCTCCAGATACTGACAAAGAATGTAGCGTAGAATCTCAAAAGTAATTTTAAACTGTTTGTCCTCGTTTTAGTGTAGTGTTTTGTACAAATTTATGTCATTATTAATGTTTCCACATTCTACGCTTGCCGGATAGTTTATATTTGACGAAATGCCCCTGAAGATGCTATTTTAAGCGAAAGTGCTTGGGCTAGATTTAATTAACTTGTGCTCGATAATAGCCTTATTTTTCAAAGTTCATTTGTTCGAGCATTCAACCTCATTTCAATTAATATATATTTTATTATATTAATAATTATGTTATTATATTAATATACTATTTATTTATTTATATATTTTTATTTTATCGACTTACTCCCTTCAATATATATTTATAAAATATAAATACAACCGAATACAAAATAAAAACACTTCTTCTTTTTATGTAAACATGACACTGTTTTTCAATGTGCCTCTAGTAAGTTTTCGTGGTCTTCCTATTGGGGAACATAACAACAATGCTTCGTAAACGCATTACAAAAGTCGAATACAGCATAACTGGCTATCTTTTTACGTGTATTTACACCAAATTCAATATTACCGAAAAATTGTATTCACTGATTCCAATGCAAGGGACTACAACTCCAACGGAGGCAAACTCCGTTTCACCATTGTATAATTCACCAGGAAAATAATTTGTGTACCCGAGATTGAGTTTGCCACATATCAAAGTGCCAATAACTAACCTAATCATTTTTATAAAGTCGCGTGCGTTCAGTCGCCGTGAATTTAACGAATTAGAAACTGAATATGGTGAAGTAGTGTAACGTTGGCTTAGAAGAGGTACAATGTTAAAAAGAGTATCCAACATAAAAAGCGACATATAATTGTTCTTGGATATGCCTTTCCTCACGTTGGTAATAAATAATGGATGTACAATTTTGGGTTTCTTATCGACATGATTTTAGTATTAAATGATCTTAATGTGGAAATTAGGACAGTTTTTTTTATATAAACTGTGTGATAAAATTCAGAGCTTTGAAAATTAAAATTGTGGAAACAGCATCTTTTGCAGAATAATGTGTCTCACTTTCCACATTTAGAGAATGAAAACGTTACTACTTCAAAGCTGAGAAGACAGTGGTTATCATGAAAATATTTTCCTCGCTATTTAATATCGAGTTCCCGAAGACTTTCAAATCGAACTGATTGACATGCAAAATAATACCGATTTAAAAAAATCAATTTTTTTATAAATCTTATGTATACCCTGAGATATTTCCGAAATTAATCAAAAATTGCCCAGATCAAGACTGAGTGATGCACGATGAAAAAGCTGTGCACGTGTAGTTACTCATCAATTCCAGCTGATATTGACCAGCTTGTATAAAAAAAAACAATGACAATTTTCTCATTAAAAATTTCAAGTAAATTTATTTTTCTGTTCATTTCTTGTTTGTTTTTATTTTGCATAAACATTTGTATGTAAAATCTTTACTTTTTTTAATTTTATATTTATTATTCTAATGTTTATTATAAATAACGTTTTGTAAATTATGATAAGGTGTTACTTTATAACGCCCGCCAATAAATATTAAAATTTATATTTTTTTTATATTTATTATAGAAAGTTACCTAACCAACAACTAGAGTGTAATTATTAGTAGCTGTCAATAAAACAGTTATAATGTTACTCCACGACTTCAATACAATTTTATTGTATTACCATCCTCGATCGAGAAGAATCGGACTAAGGGGCATTAGAAAACAATTCGATCCTGATATTTACATCGAATCTGTCCATTGGTCCTTCGAGCCGGATATGAACCAGCGACCTATACAGCCTTTGTTTTCTGGCTCTCTTGGAGTTTCGAATGGATCTGACTACTTTCCATATAATGACAATCAATATAACAATGAATATAGTGACTAGTCCCGTGGTTAAATGAGGAATCCACTGATGATAACAATGGTTTTCCACGTGTGTTCGGATATTCTTTTGCATATTCCACTACACGGTTACAAGTCGTTTTAACTTTAAGTCGTATGTACTCTTTCTCTAATGTGTCTCTATATGAGACATCACTTAGGCCTTTAAGACATTTCCTTAGTTCCGTTTATCAGTGCTTCTCGGACTATTTAAATGTTTATTCTTCCTTCTGTAGAGTTAATCAAGGCTATTAATTGTAACATCAGCTTCGTCTGATGTTTTGAATTTTTTATTAGATCCTTCTGATTTTCGTCCCAGGAATCTATGTCCCTGTATACTTCATCATTTACCCCAAATATTGATGTGAGGACTGTTTCCAGAAGACCCCTCTTCGGCCTTCTTTTAACTTCCAGATCTAATGCTCGACTTATCATTTTTGCTCGTTCTTGTTCCTCTTTTAGCTGGCTCGATAGTGAATCACAATTTATTATATTGCTTGTCTTACACCTATCTTCCAGCGTTTTTACCATTGAATCTATCGTTCATTCACCATCTAATTTTTTTTCTTTTCTAGATGAGTTTTTATTCTAAATATACCTCGATTTATGTATACATCGCTTAGATGTTCTGAATATAATCCGGTGGAAGGGGTATAAATTTTGTACAAATCTGCATTTGATGGCTTCAAAAATACTAAAAAATGATGCAAAACATAATTTTCTCCACATACTATGTGCTCTATTTGTCTTTCGTGAGGTATTCATACTATTGGTATTAACTTGTGTATTGGTCGAATAGTTACTTTTCCGTTCGCCTTTTAAACTGTTACGACTCTTGTCAAACCTTCAGCTCCAGGATGTTTCTATTATCACCGCTTCTTCTTTTTCTAGGTTTGTGACGGGTTTTTGCCACTTATATCTCTGTTGTATATTTGACAAGTAGTCATGTCTTTAACTGTTCTAAAAATCTCTTTTTACTTTTTCTAACTGCCTCCACCTTTGTGGCATATTCGTCTATGTGCTCAACTCTTCCTCCCTATTTGGCGAAATTAGTTCTCTCCCAATCCCAAAATAACTATTGGTTTATTTGGATCATAAAACTTCATATATCAGGAGAGATATATCCATCTGGAAAGAGAGGATTCGTAACTAAGATTACCGCCCATATACCATCTTCAAACAATAAAAAAAAGTTTATTGAAAAATATAGTTACAAAAAATCACAAAATATTCTGTACAATTGTAAAAATATAATGAAATTATAATTTTTATGAAATGTAAACATGATGTGTTCCCTATGGCCAATCAATAAAAAGAATATCTCCTAAAGTATTTCCTATAATCATCGCTTCATAGCTTTTTTCATTCTAATATTCTTTTTCTTTCTACTTCCACCTAGTTTTTTCTTGAATGGTTTATTTTTCCTTAGATTATTCCTTACTTTCGCTTTTACAATACCCTTTAGATCCCGCCTTAACTTAGTAAACTCCGAATTTTCATCCAATTTCATTTTTTCAACAAAATCGAGCCCCTCTGAAAACGAAAAAGTAATAATATAAAATTTTTAATATATACATTTAAAAAATTGTATTCCAATGTACAATGAAAATTAAAAATAGACAGATAAAAATCGATATTTATGAGTAAAGAGTCATAGGTTTTAAAAGCATCACAAATAAACAAAACATCTATAATGAGAGAGCATAGGTTAAGATGGTTAGCGCATTTTAGCCAGTAAGAAAAATTACTGAGTTAAAATTACTGGAATAAGTAGGAGAAAAAGATCAAAGAAGATTTTTTGGAAATTCTGACTGAGTACACGCCTGTAAATGATATTGATATTAGTATGAATCCAGATAGAAGCTTATGGAGAAATCTATAAAATAAATTGAAGATAATAAAAATATATAACCAGTAACTAATTTACCTTGTAACCGATAGTCGTCCACTTTGAAAAAGAAAGAATCAGTCCAAGTTGTTGTTCTCCTTAAACCCCCTTGTGTTTTAATATTATCGAATTGTTTAGTTTCAGTCTCGGTTACCGCATTCTGCGAAGGAATATCTTCAGTTTGGTCTTCATCGTCGGAAGAATCGTATTTAAATGGATTTTTCTCTTGTTGGAATTTATTATTTACACTAACGGGCTGCTCTTGCGGTTTGTCATCAATTTCTTCATCTGAAATAATAAAAATGTGGCAGAAATTTCTTCCAGAAATTGATTTTGTAAGATTTAAAGTTCTACAAACTTAACTAAAAAACTGTCATTGTGCTGTCTAAAGTAAATAATGCCTACATTTTTTTGTTCATGTTTATAAATCATATGTCATGCTTATATCGCATAAACATATTCAATTCAATGCCTCCCTGCACTACCACTGCAGAAGAAATTATCCAGTCCATTTAATAAACCATTTAAAATAACTAAAACAATTTGTGTTGTCTATCCTTATACACATAAAATAAAAGCAAATACAAATCAAAAGATTTCTTATGTTTGAAATCAATTCAGGAAAATACCAAATCATACTTAAAGTAATTTTTTAATTAATATTGAATGTCCCTATTCTTTGTTTCAAGTTAAGAAAATAACATTACGCTTATGGAGATCAGTGTTGCCAAAACTCTCAGATACTCTCTTTTGCACGTATGTCCAAGATATTCCCTTTGCTTAATTTTTGAATTTTCATTTTCAATTAACATTTAACTATAAAGTCAGAATAACTACTAAATAAAAGCATTATTATCATTATGTAGTCAGAGAACGACATACAATCGCTGACATACGCACATCGTATTATTTTAAGTTGCAATTAGTAATTAGATATAGGCATTCCAAGCGGTCAATATTTTCTACTGATTTCTATGATTCATGGCATATCGTATTCTCACCGAAAAACAAATAAACTGTCGTTACTATAATTAAAATAAGATAAAATAAAATTATCTTTTTTAAATACTATTTATCTAATTAAAATCATTTTCCCTACTTTTCATCTCTTGTTTCAAATGGGCACTTTTGGTCAATTACGTTAAAAAACATTAATTTAATTCATGTTTGTGGAAACGAAAATACAAATTACACAACCCTAAATTGTGCTTGTGTGTGTCGTGGCAACGCCGCGTTGCTATCGTCCATAAGAAATACATGGTCCTATCTCCGCGATGTTATTTTCTAAACGTGGAACGTAGTATAGATATGGATTTGGCCAAACTGATAACATTATAAATAAATGAACAATTCACAAAAAAATATGGTAGGCCGTCCCGCAAACATTTTAATATATACATTATATTTATGACAAATTTGTTGTTGCTCAAAATATAAACAGAACATATGTCACATGGTAATCGTCACATTATCTCACAATGAGACCTGTAATTATGTAAGCAGGCGAGATTTGACCTATTGTCGACTGCCAATAGACTATTGTCATCATACTGCTATAGTCTGGATTTAGATGGAAAGAAATAAATATTTACCTTTGTCTTCGTGTCGACCAAACATACTCAGAAGGCTAAATTCTTTCTTTTCTTCAAAGGTTTCTTTTAAATCGTCTGAAACCTTGAAAAACACTTCTTTTGATACTTCTGGAGCCTCTTTTTCTTCAACTTTCTTTTCTTCGATCATTTCAGTCTCAGAATCTTTCCTTTTTCTTTTCTTCTCTTTTTTATCCATTGTCGATTTAGGTATTTCATATTTTGAATGTTCCGGTTGTGACGGATCAAACCGTAACATTGATTTTTTTGTACTAAAAATAATAAAACATGTCTAAACATAGAACTAAATACTATATGGAAAAAAATATGATTATGTTAAAGTGTACAAAACAAAAAATTCAACTATTTAAGTAGAAATTAATTTACATGAATTACATCAGTTCATTTCTGGTCAGGTTGGAGTATAGTGGGAAATTTGCAATCAAACTTTGAGATATGACTACAAAACGAACTTAACTCTCAAAATATATGAAGATGAGGAACAAGTAGAAATTGGAGTAAAATTATTTTTAAGAAGTTCTGTTTGAAAGTATGAATAGTAGTATATAGCAGTATAACAAGCATAAAAAGATTATAAATTAATTAAATACATTAAATACAACTAAGACAATTTTATTGACAAAAAATCACTGTACCTAGGAACTTGTTTTTCTTTTCTTGAAAGCACCTTTTTCCCTAAAACTTTTTCGAGTATGGCATACTCCTGTCTCTTTTCTTCCTCAAGAGAAATATCTTCATTTTCATTTATTGAATTCTCCACACTTTGTTGTTCTATTTTTTCATCATTTAAAAACCTAGCATCTAATGTAAACCTTTTGTCATTTTTATATTTTGATTGTAGCTCCAATAACTAAAATAATAATTTTTAGAGATTAAGTTCTAAAATTTGAATACAGTAAATACATATTTGACAAAATATGTTTACATGATTATCATTAATACCTCTTACAATCATCAGTATCAGTAAGTACATCCAAACTGTGTATTCACCAAATAACAACAACCTTTCCGTACCTATCCATCCATTAAATAGCAACTTTAGTACAATATTGGTTCTTCTAGGATTACCATGACCGGTGTTTTTAATGGCATAAATAAACTGCCCAATAAACTTACTACTGGCCCAGATGGAGTGCTTTTTATTAAAAAAGTGTCTGTACTCTTATGCCATTTGTTATATTGTTCTTCATGGAAAGAAAGTTATGTTGTTCCTATATTTACAAATGGTCAGAAAGACAACATGAAAGTTATAGTAGCATTTGCATACAATCTGCAATTCCTAAGCTCTTCAACTGTCTTACAGCAAAGCAACTTTCTTGGTTATGTAAAGGCTTAATATCTCAATCACAACATGGTTTTTATAGCAAAAAATCCACTACAAGAAACTTGGTTTGAAATCAATCTGATATATTATCTTAAATGGAACACTGTAAACAGGTAGATGCAATATACACAGATTTTCCAAAGCATTTGATCAGGTAGATCACCAAATACTTTTGGGCAAATTAATTAATGTGTTTTTATGTCAGGTTTGTTGAATGGATTAAAAACTCTACATCTAGTAGAAGTCAAAGAGTCAAGATAGGTTGTCATTTGTCTGACAGTATCTAGGAAACATCTGGAGTTCCTCAAGGAGGGCACACTTCCCCATTTCTTTTTAATATCTTCGTTAATGACATCATTTCCTGTTTCCTAAATAGCAAATGTCTAATGCTGACAGATGACTTAAAATTTTGGAAAGTTAAAGATAGCTTAAAAGATCAAGCCTTGTTCCAAGATGAATTAGGACAGACTAAAAAATTGGTGCAATCAGAACAAATCACCTAAATGTAAAAAAATGTTGTTTTATAAGTTTTTCTGGTAAAGTCAATAAAATTGAAACAAGATAGGTATACCATTAATAATCAGCAACTGAATATTTCTTCTATTCAGGATTTGGGTGTAATTTTTGATGAGGAGCTTACTTTATGTGACCACTTAAACTTCTTGGTTTTGTTACTAGGAATTGCAAGTATTTTTCCATTGATTCAACAATTTGGTCAACAACATTGGTTATAATATTGATAATATGGAAATGATAGATTTTGATATTTTCAATATAACTTTAACTCAGTTAAAAAGATCTCTTGCTTTGTGATATGTATATTGGTATTTTTGAATTTTGTTCTTGTTATATTTTTCGTATGTAAGATTTTTAGTTGCATTTTTTAAACTTATTGATATTGACTTTACATTATAAGTAATTTCAAGTTGTGTATCCTAACTGTGATGTTGTATATTGTAAAATAAACCATTAATTGGGTTATTCTGTGTATTAAATAAATAAATAAATAATTGCACAAATATAGTTTCATATAACTTTAAATTTTATGTATGGTTATTCACAAAGAAATATTGCCCAAAATATTCCTAAAAAGTAGATTAGTGTTCTGGTTTACTAACATCCTAATACCTTCAGGTAGGGATTAAAGAATAAGAGTAACTGCACTGCAAGACCCTACTTCCTTGAAAACATTTCTGACTCGAGGAGGTCTCAAACCAGGAACCTATTTACATTGAAGTTTGAGGTGAGTCTACCAGCTTGTTAAGTTGACAAAAAATGAAATAGCTAGTGACAAATTTAGAAATTAGATTCTAAATTCTATATCTCCACGTACTTTGAACATTTTATTAAAATAAAAGGGCATAAGACAAATTGTTATCACATTAACTCTCTGTCAAAACTACATTAAAACATTATTAAGCAAAACTATTCCAAATCATAATCTGTAGTACAACAGCCAAATGAAACAAGTATATTAAATGTTGACCATGTGAAGAAGGGGATTGATATCTAGTTTGTGAGTTCTCTGTGCCAGTTACTACCATTTTGATTTAAATTAGTTTATAATTTGATTAAATTTTCTTGCATGATAGGAGCAATAATTATTAATATTTCCACTCACATAAATGTATAATCAATAAAAAGGAAAAAACATTTTTCAAAATGCAGTACACTTTTATGATTCATTATGTCCACTTGTTGGAATATATCGTATATAATAAATTAATAATCTAAAATGTTATAAAAGTTAACTGTACCTTTTGACCCTCTGTTCCTTGAAAATGTTCCTTAACTGAAAAGCTGGGTTCAAACTCTTCCTCTGATTCACTACCATTGAATAAAGACTTTTTATCTTCTGCAATTTTATTTTGGTTTTTATTTGAATAACTTGTGGTTTTATTATTAGAGATATCTTCAGTATCATCAAATATAATTTTATTTTTTGGCTTAGAATCCACATTTGACAGAGCGGCTTGAATTAATGACTTTTGATTTTGGTATCCTTGTTTAAGATTTTTTAATGATTCCAATCTTTTAATGTTGGCCTCTGAAGTATTTATAGGTGTCTTTTTATTCTGTTTTTCTATTTTTATAATAGGTTCTTTGCCTACAGATTCTATTTTAAGACTGTTTGCATTTAAAACTTTTCCTCTGTTGTTTTTAATCTTAAAATCTGGATCATGATATTGAGTTTCGTTTACTATGTCTATAGACTTCTGATTTTTGTTTACTAGTTTTGGCTTTTCTTCTTCATCTTCTGATTCTGAAGAACTTGTAGAACTGCTATCAGAATCTGATGAAACATGCTTTTTAGGAGTATATTTAGGTAGACCATTAATTTTCTTCTCGGGCAAGCTGAGTTTCTCCTCAGATGTAGTTTCAGCTTTGGGTATATTTGAAGGTTGACTTTGCCGTTCTCGTTTCAATCTATCAAGAAAACTCTCCCTTGCGATCTGAAGCATTACTGGTTGGCCAAACCATTTTGCTTTTGAGAAATCATTAAAACCTAAAATGTAAGATGTTTTAAAATTTACAGTGTGTTTCACTGAGATATGCTCCACACTATATGTAGATAGATGAAACCTATATGGTTCTAAATAACTCACATCAAGTTATGTTTATTTACTATTAATAAACTACTATAATGCTAATTAAACTAAGCCCCCTAAATATGAGCTAGGAGCTATAAACTCTATAAAGAATGAAACTGGAAAAATAAAGTTGGAAAGATATAATAGGAATTTAATAAAATCTACTATTCAATATGTCCAATAGAATTTATTTTAATGTCAACACCTGTACAAACATCAAATAAAAATTAATCTAAACTCTTTTTTGTACTCCAAAATTTAGAATTTAGTAAAACTATTCATCCGTTAGCTTGATTATAGAGAATCAGCCTATACATTTGGGATAATTTTTAATCACCACAGAGTTGTCTATCTTTAGCGGTGGTGTGGTGGTGGTATTACAGTGAAACAGTTTATAACAAACTAAATGAATACGCAATTACTTACAATTATTTAAGCTTTTGGCATCTATGTTTACCGTAACATAAGCGAAAAATAAGGAAGAATTTTTCTGACCCAGTTCCTTTCGTTCTTTGATTTCAATAGATGAGACTTCTCCGTAGTTGCCAAATATATTTTGAAGTTCATCTTTGCTTGCTGTTTCGGGCAAATCACTGATAAATATCCTGTTTGTTTCTAGTTTCATTTTTTATTTTTCATTTCATGTGCTGAAATCTTTGGTTATGTTTACTAATGACAAGCATAACCTTAAAACCTCTCCTTTTTTTGTAATATTGAAGTTAGCCACGCAAGAAGTAATTCATCCACATAGGATTTCATACATTATTTTTTTGTATATTTATTAATATTTGACTATTTAGCTAATTAGGTTAAAGAAAAATATATTTTTGATTTAGGCGCTTCTCTATTTCTCTTCAGTCTGCATTTCAAACTCTCTAACTCAAAATAATAGGTAATACTTTTCAGCTATATTTTACTCACCTAATTTCAAATTCACGGCACGGAATACGCCAACCATCTATCACTGGATAAAGTCTATCTGGGGACAACGCTGCTAATGACTATAACAAGTTTATGGATTTTGGCGAGAGAAGAAAATTTAACGGTAGATTAAATATATAACGCCGATGAGACTGGTCTGTTTTACAGAATGTTGTCAAGCAAAACTTTGGCCTCAAAAGGATACAAAAAAAGCAAAACCGACTGATAAGAATGGCCTGCAGCAATGTATCGAGGATGCATCAATTTCCTCTAGTCTTTTTTTGTGCCAGGTGTAAAAAAATATTTAAGAGTCCTCCTCCTCTATCTTCTCTCCTTCGTAAGGATGTAATGGGGTCATGTAATTTGTTTGACTACTTCTGTCCAATTATCTGTCTCCTGTGCTTGTTGTTTTGCTTCGGAGAATAAGTAACCAGTCATGTTCTTTATTTGGTCCGACTATCGTATTGGAGATCTTCCTCTGGATGTTTTACCCGCTACGTTACATTAAACTATAATTCGATCCATGCCTTCTCTTCTTCTAAAAGAGTATTGGTTGCCAATTAAAGCTATTCTAATAATTGATAATGCTCCTTCACATCCCTCAGCAGATGTGCTCTCAGCACAGTGACAGAAGTGATTAGAACCAGCTTGATAAAGTCTTGAAAAAAACTATGCAAAGGTGTATGTGACTTGCCAGAAAACTCAATTCAGCCAGTAGAGAACTGTAATCCGGAAAATAACTAGTTGGCTGCTCTGAAGTCGATGAAGGTGACATTAATCTGTAATTAGGGGCACATAATAAGGAAGGCTATGCGCCACTTACTGATCGGCAGTGATCGCGTCGTATTTCATGTTTTTGCAATTATAATGGACTGTATCTGTAAATATACGGTATTATATTTTTATTATATTCTCCGCGGATTTTCGATAACCCGATTAATCCGACTAATCGATGTTCCACTGTATTGGGTATCATAGTAGTTAGTATTTTTGTTAGCAAATCAGTTTGCGGGATTTGGTATCAGCATAATTGTCCATGTACTTTTGTTGCTTGTTTCTCATTCATTTGTCATTCTTTTATCAGGAGTATTTAGAGTCTGGACAGAGGTGATTTTGAGATCTCATAGATGAAATGTGATATGTACAGCAGACGTAAATGCGCCTTATAAATTGTATCCATTATTGTGGGATCACATATAGTACAAGTGTTGTTCTGATATTTGTAAATAACGAGAGAAAACACACGCCAACAGCAAAATTAAAATTATATTAAAATAAATAAAAGAGGTAGTAGGCACAATTGTCAAATAAAATAGTATTAACATACAAAAAATGTTCCATTATATTTTTAAAATATGGTCACACATAAATTCATAACTACATTATATAAATTATATTAAACTATAAATGAGTAGGTCTTGTCATGGCTCTAACATATAACAATGTTAAAATTCAAGTTAATTAAAACTGGGCAGTTGAATGATTTATCTAAAATATAAAATAATATCAACACTTATATCACTTAATTTGCTATTATAGTAAGTTTTCAAACTGCCGTGAGAATATAAAAAGTATAAACCGGAGTTTCTATAGAAATCAGATCACTATGTAAAAATAATACTCAACTAATCTAGTATGTACTTTAATATTAAGCGAATTTTCATATTGAATGATGAGTTATTCGGCAAAATTACAAAACAAATAACAGTATTTTTTATTTAACAACTATATTACGTCACTTTTTACTGTTAGACATCCATGGTTTTGTAATTGGTCTTGAATATTACTCAACATCACATTCTACACTCAACATCAGCATAATACAGATATGTGCTCCCGTTATAGATAAAACATAACTTGATATGGGGATATTGATATCCTCATGGGATTTACAAAAGATATCAACATAGTTTTGGGCACCAAGAAAAAAAAAAAAAGACTACATGATTGCAGCTAACAGTTTTTTGTTCAAATTACCTCCCCATTGACATGATGGGGCCACAGTGAACATGATAGATCATGTTAGTATTGACTTCAGACAGCAATCAGATGTATAATTAACGTGGGTACCAAACTGGGGGTTAATACAGACTTGGTTCACTAAGTGGTGTAAAATAAAATAGGAGACAGAATCTCGAACATCAAAAACAAATAATGAGACACGTTTACTATATAAGAAACTTAAAAAGAAATCATGGGCATACAAAAAAAAGTTACAAAGAACCAAAAACAACGCTTTGATGAAGAATTTCGATACATCACACAAATAAAGGCTAATGCATACTGACGACTACAACAACAGGTGACACGATAAGTATAAGAAGAATCCAGGCTGCTAAGGAGGGAAAAAAAAAAGAAAATATATCGAAGTAATAAAAGAAAGAACGTAGAAAAAGACCTGAGAGATACAAGAACTAAATAAATCGCAGAAACCAGAATAGGCTAACAAAAAGTTGAAAAAACTAGAAAAGAATTTAAACCAAGAATAATGATGTGCGAGAAAAGGGAGACAATATGGAAAATGTGAACAAAATTCTTTAAAGAAAAGTTTGAAGTAAATAGGGAGGAAGCGTTACATCACGGAATATCACTGATACAAAACGATATCAGACAAATCACCCCGTTCTCATTAGCTGAAATTAGCCAAGTCTCCCTGATCAGACACTCTTAGCACAGAATTAATAAAAGAAGGTGGAAAATGCCATACATTAAATATGTAATTTAGATTTATCAAAGTACTTAGCTAACAAACGTTTATCTCAAAAATTTCATATAAGAATGTCGAAAGAATTTCTACAACGAATAAATTAACAGAAAATGCCCATGAGTAATATCGCTATCCTCCATTAAAGAAGACCTCGATCGACGAATAATAAGAATAATAGGCACGAAAATGTCGGTAAACAGGCCGATTACGGCCCTGTTATTTGGATGAGTGAACGAAATTTGAAATAAATATAATATTAAAGTTCATCTCAGACTAAAGAGATATATAAATAACTTATTAAGACTTATTACATTACATAGAGAGATTTAAGCCATCTAATATTGGAAAAACGCTAAAAGTTATGCCAAACATGTGCAAATTTTACAGTATAAGGAATACTATTAATTCTTAATAATTTTTCAGTTAATTTTTTACTTTTTATAACATTCACGCCGCTTTTAGTAAAACCCTGTTTCATTTGTTTTGTTTAACATACATAGTAGCTGTCTTCTAATGTTTACATCAATAAATTTATTTCGACCTAACAAAAAATCAAACACGAATGACCAACAAACATCTCTTAATTGTTTCCCACTCTAGTGGTAAGCGTGTAAAGGTTCCATCTATTTTGATGGCCATGAACGCAAACAATTTACTAATATTATTTTCTGTTATTTGAGCTGTAGCAAATATGTAAAAGTTTATATCTTTTAGCAAAAGCTTGCTGTCGCTTTGATGTATTTAAAACAGTGTGTACAGTAGAAACCCGATTTGTCAGTCTCTGTGTTTGAATTGTAACGTGTATCGTGTTTGAACCTCCCATGGCCTCATCAGACGCCCCGGCGTCTTATGAGGCCATGGGAGGCCGAAATGATGTCATATGTAATGATAATAATTGAACAGTCAATTTAAACCAATTTGAAATAAAGTACGAAGATATATATTTAGATTCAGCAGATACGGTAATACCAATTGGGATCTATGAGATACCCGAAATTCTACAGAAAAAATGAAAAATGGAAAAGCTTCAAGACATGGAAATGACCGTATACAATTGGTAAAAAGTAAATCTCTTTTATCCGCCGAATTTACGGATTAGTTAAAGGCAAAAGTTAAGTAAAAAACACATTAAATATGTAGATAATAAAGTCATATGAAACAAACATGAAAAAGAGATGATCAGCAAGACCACAAAAGCCCTAATAAAGTATAAAAAGGTGACTGTTACTAAAGCATGGTTCCGTTTCTACACGTTGCAGTATTTCAATAACTGACGTGTATTATGCAGACTGTTTTGCAGTCTTCTTGTGTCTTGTCTTAGGTATTTGTTCTTCCCGATTGTGTCATTAAGAGATTCCGCTGCTTAACATGCTTTAAAGCTTTGTTGTCGTACTTCTTCTTCAACATCTCCGTAACTGGTTCTATCTATTCCCAGATATATAAACCTTGCTTTCTGCTTATTATTTTCCTATTAATTTCGATTTTACATCGTAGTGGGTATTTAGATGCTATTCATTTTTTGGTCTTCTTACCAATTGCTTTGTTTAATTTCGTATTCTTCTATAGGTCTCCCGGGATTCTAGAGTAATTGATGTTTTGTACTTTGTGTAAGCCTCTCGTTTCTGTTTACCTTCCTCTTTTATTTCTTTTTTGAACCAAGGTGTATTGTTGTTGTTTCTTTTGTTTAGTATGATTTTGCGTTTTCCTAGAGCTTCTGTTGCTGCTTCTTCAATGTTGTTTTTATTTTTTTCCCAGCTTACGTTTATATCTTCGATGTCGTCTATTTGTTTCAGCTGTAACTTCTGTGCTAGCCTCCTTAAGTACATTTCTCTTGTAGAGTCGTTCCACAGTCGTTTTGCAGTCAATTTTAGAAAAAAAAAATGTTTGTTTGGCGAAAAATTCTCATATATCACAAGATCACAAAGTAGCCGTTGCATAGATAAAATTATACCAATTGGGATATAAATTGATCAACCATCCACCGCATTTACTAGATTTAGTTCCGTGTGACTATTTCCCTTTCCCAAGATTCACTCGTATCTATAATAAATGCAAGAAATTTCTAAGTGGCATTCAGCTTGGTTTTCGTAACAGGTTTGGAATGAGAGAGGCATTGTTTGCGATGAACGTACTTGCTCAAAGATGTCGTGATATATCTGTAGACATGTACTGTTATTTTATTGACTTCAACAGGTATTTGATCATGTTAAGCACTCTATATTGATCGATGTTCTAAGAGACTTGGATGGAAGAGACGTTCGCATAATTGCAGATTTGTATTGGAATCAAACAACATCGGTTTTAGTAGAGGGTCTGGAATCATAGGCTCTTAATATTAAAATAGGAGTAAACGATAGCTATGATGCTATTTAAGAAGCTCCAGCAAGGTTGGGAAAGGGTCTTATCAAGTGTATTGAACATAAAGCAATTATGTTGAAAAATAATTTAGAATAATACAAAAAACGGACGTTTTTTTACTTAAGCTAAATTAATATTAAACCCTCATATTCCAAGAGACAAATCCCATCATTATGGTGACATCATTTAGTAGAATAATCGCTAATTCAAGAATTAATGCGCATGTTCCGAGTAACGTATAACGTTGCTAATATCAGTGGCTTAAATCTCTTACAATCTCTTTTTAATATAAACATAAAGCACTGTAACCTCCACCGTATATTTTCCTTAACTTAATGTATATGTGAACAATAAAAAGACTAGAAAATGGCAAAATATTGCTAAAGTAATATCAATCGCATAATATCATTCATTTACTGTTTAAATTGTTGATAAAAAGAGTAAAAATCTTACTAAATACAGCTATGAATAAAGTGTTTTTAAAAAAATTACTAACTATGAGCATGTTGTTTCTATTAAAGGTGCATTTAGGTATGTCTCAATCGTTTTTTCATCAACTCTATTGATGACTGAACCTAAGAAAACGTTATTTATTTAAAAACTTCTTTAAAAAAAATATATCCGCTTAAAATTTAGACAAAAGAAAAAATATCAGAATGCCCTTTGGAGTTCATCTCCGGAATTAAATCTTCTGTATTAACACTAGTGTGTTCATAAATATTACATATATACTATGTTATTTTAATAAAACAGTTCTTACAACCTTCAAAAACTCAATTAGTTACCTAATGGTGAAAGCATTATAGTAAAAAACAACATAGTGACCTGAAATCACATTAGTTATCTTAAAAATATCTAATTTTCAAAGTCATCAGTCCATCGTAGCTCTGTACTCCTAGGCGAAGTCTTCTGCTCCCTCCCTGCATCTTCCACACAAAAGAAATCATCGTCAAACGGATCATCTTCTCTGGCGAAAATATTTACAGATTCCGACTTTTTAATGTTGATATCTGTTCTCAAACCTGAAAATCTATTTTTTGAAAGAATCTTCTTTCGACCATTCGTAGCATTTTCAAAATTACTGGTACTAAACTCATCTTCGTCTTCACGATCTGCCTCTTCTTTAATACTGGAAATGTTGTCGTCTGGTTCCTGTTTTTCGGTAGGAGAAAAGTCGTCCTCGAAGTGAGATTTTGACTTCGTCTGGTAGCGAGGGGATAATTTGGTCGTTGGTCGAGGTCTATCGCGAACGCTGTAAAAAATTTTAATTGTCAAAATGATATTGAAAATACTCCGTTTTCTGGAGTAAATTAAATTTAACAACTTAAAGTTTAGTCTATAAAAAATTTATATTATACTACTGCTATGCTTCAGATTTACAGATTGAAGTTAACTTCAAGCATCAGCGAGAAGCGCTACTACCTGACTTGACAATGGCAAGTGCGACCTTGTCGAAACGTCGTCAAAATAATGGTTTTTATCAAAACCAAAATTATTATTATATATATATATATATATATATATATATATATATATATACAGATTGAACCAAATTAAAACGGAACATACAATTTAATACATGTCTGTTTGAACTGCATTTGAAATAGTGGACCAATATAAAACTTGGACAAAAATAAATCCATACCTGGGTATAGACATTGTATAAAATATCGTTCAACTATCTGTCTCGCAACAAAGTTGTTTGCGTAAGACGGGTTTGTCTAAGGAAGTGATAATAGTTCAGGAAATGAAGCTCCAAAAAAGTTAAAACCTCGCAATTTTTTCGTCCTGCATGTATCCAGTTGAAATTTTAAATGAAGGTAGGTGATAGCCCAAGGATCAAAATCTATATCGAACCGAATTCCGCTGAAGGGTTTTAGGGGTGAAAACTACCCCTAATTGTCAAAAATTATAAAATAACATATTAAACCTGAATATGGGTAAGATTTGGTTTGAATTAGTTAAATAATGATTATTTTATACTTTTGAATAGAGTTCCATGATATTTCAACCCTTGTTAGAGATTAATGTAAAAAAATTACTAATTCTAAAAAAATGATTTCGCCTTGGATCGATTTGGATAAAAATTTGGATTTAAGCTCAATTCACCCGCTGCTTTATAGTTTATGTCATGTCGACAAACCCTGATTGTTCTTAGGGGTGAAAACTACCCCTAATTGTCAAAAATTATAAAATAACATATTAAACCTGAATATGGGTAAAATTTGGTTTGAATTAATTAAATAATGATAGTTTCGTGCGTTTGAATAAAGTTCCATCATATTTCAACCCTTAAAAAGCGACCCTTATTAGAGATTAATATAAAAAAAATTTAGTAATGCGAAGAAAATGATTTCACCTTGGAACGATTAGCATAAAAATTTGGAATTAAGCTCAACTCACCCTCTGCTTTATAGTTTATGTCATGCCGATGAACCCTGATTGATGATGAGTGAAATTTGGTTTGGATTGGTTAAATAGTGATTTTTTTTATACTTTAAAATACAAATTCATACATTTTCAACCCTTAAAAATCAATTGTTATGAGTGCTATAGGTGAAAACAATTTTTTGCCAAAATTTTGCAACTTTTCAACTTTTCAAAATCACCCTTTACAACATTGCAGTTTTTATAAACTATTTTATAAGATATAAATTGAAAAAAGTAAAATTAAATACAAAAAAATTTATCAACATAAAAAGGCACCATATATTCTTATACATTTACATAAATAGTTGAAAATATTTACATTTATAGGTAAAACAATTATAATATTAATTTTATTCGTCATCAATTACATCTTCATCATGATCTATGTCATCCTCATCTTCTTCAATTATTGGTGGACTGTTATTGCACCCTTCACCTGAGCACCCAGAACAAGTAGAGTTACAGTATAAACCAACTTTTCTGCACCCACATGAAACGCCGCATCCTTTTTTGCATTGGCAAAAAATAATTTTCAAAAGTTCATCGGGTGCAGGTTGTTTGTTTATGCGTACGGGTAATAACAAACCATCTTTGGAATACCATCCCCAATCTGTTGCTCTGATATTTTCATTGTCAAGCCATAGACATATGAGCAGATGTTTTATTCTGTTGTATGGGATTTCAAAATAAGAACGCTTAAAATTTCGAATGTATAACGCCCCACTAGCTAATATACCGGTTTTGTAGAATATTATGCTCTGAAATGTACTGTACTATATATACTAATGGAATTTTCCTGAAAAAAATTAACTGGTTTTTTTAACGTATTTCCTTTAATTTTTAACGATAGAGTGTTTCTTTAAAAACGATTTGTAGAGGTTTTTAAGAGCTACAAGGATCTGTGAATTAAATATTTTTGGAACCCTTGGTTTTTAAATGGGGTGAGTTTAAAGGGCTCGAAAAAGATGGTGCTTGATCGTAAATCGATGCTTTAAACTGCTATATCTCGCCAAAAATTCATTGTACAACAAATCTAAATGAAGAATAATTTTAGTCATTAAAAAAGCTACAATTTGGTAATTTTTATTTTTTTCATATATTCAGTATTTTCGGGCATATTTAAAAAAAGAAGGGTAAAAAATATGAAATTGTAAATCGTTTCTCGCTTTAAGCTGTACTTTTTCTAAAACTAAGTATTTTAAATGGGTCAAACTTCTTGTACGTATTAACAATACATGTACAAAGGGAATTGCAGAAGGGTGAAGATCGATTTTGATTATGGGGGTGGTTAGGGAGTTGTTTTCATCGATTTTTTCGTAAAAAATGAGGTATTGACCTTATTTTCATCATAACTCACTCAATTTTTGAGCTAGAGTCTTTTTTTGTGATAGGTCTGTTTATGCTCTTTGGTTTTGTGAGTTTTCTTCCAAAAATGCATCATTTTCCCGATATTTGACTTTGAATCTTTCAAATTTGGCATTTGAAGAAAACCGCTGAACATTGATAGGCCGTATTTCGGTTCCTATTATATCGCAAAAACATTTTAAAAAATTATTCGCGAAAAATCGATTAAAAACGTGGATTTTTTCGTCTAAAAGTTGTTACTTTCAATCGCGAATAACTTGAAAAATATCATTTTATAAAAAAAATGTATAGCACATTTTTTGTTTAGAATCACTTTTTTAATCGAAACCTGTAGTTAAAACATAAAAACAAATTTCACCCCGGAGATGGGGTGGCAACCACCCCCTAGGCTTTGGCGCACTTTGGTTCAATATAGATTTTGATCCTTAGGCTATTACCTACCGTCTGTTAAATTTCAAGTCAATCTACGCAGCACGAAAAAATTGCGAGGTGAAATACTTCATTTCCTGGACTATAACTGGTTTGACAGCATAATAAAATCGTAGATTTATGTGTAGCTTTCAATTTTTATGAGTTCAGAATCCAGCAGCCCGCTGAAGTATTGGATTTATATAATATAATTATTTGACAATCTTTTGTTGGCCAACCACCTACAGCAGAATTGAGCCGAAATACATTATATTCCTATGTTCCGAATTTATTTCGTTCAATCTGTATATATATATATATATATATATACGTACTGGTATGTTTCACATGAACTAACAGGCAACTCGACCAATTTTTATCGTATATTAATTCACTTCATAGTCATATTGAATTTACAAAGAAACAAAACAAAATCAATCCATAAATTTTTTAGATTTAAAAATTATCAGACTTCAAAAAAAAACATGACTTCTCCATATTTCATAAACCTACCCATACTGACACGACTATACACAATTCATCATCCCATCCCACACAACATAAACTGGCAGCCTATCATAGTATGTTACATAGATTAACAGAAATTTAAGTCAAAATACAACTTTGAGATAGAATTAATTATCATTAAGCATATAGCAGTAGACAATGGATACTACGAACAAATAATTAATAAAATTTTAAATCAAAAACTACACAAGAAAGCCCTGAAATTAGTATTTCCACCACCAGAGAAAACACCCAGTACCTTCTGCTAGATTAAATATCCAGGCAAAATATCAACTAAAATAGCCAAACACATAAAAAAGAAAGGAATAACAGAATTCAGAACAAATAACACCTTGGATAAATATATTAAAAACAATAAGAGCCAAAATAAAAAGCGCTTACACAGTGGTATATACAAACTTAAATGTGGCGACTGCAAAAAATTACATCGGTCAAACTGGTAGAAATTTTAATAAACGAATAGCAGAACATAAAAGGGCTTTCAATAATAGAAAATCAGATTCTACTTACGCACTTCACTTTCTAAATCACAATCATTCTTTTAATGACGAATTTAAAATTCTTCACATTCAAAATAAAGGCCTTAAGCTATCCTTGTTAGAATCTATGGAAATCAACAAATTAAATATAATACAAACAAAGTTTTCAGTGTTTTATTGTTACAATTAATTAATACTAAACTCAACAGGCCTCTGGGTTGAACCGCGTCGATTGTCGATGCGTTATTTGAAGATTTGGTATCTTACTAAGTTGTCAGGAATGATAGGAAGCGTTGTTATGTACTATTGCACTATTAGGCTCCAAGTTTAGGATCAGTGAATCTTCAAAATCAGCTTCCATATTCTTGTGGTAATCACATTGTCCCACGGACGTCATATCATTATTCAAAATAATTAAATTATAGCAAACAACAATCTACTAATGAACTATTTCCCAACTAAAACGCCTATCTTACTAAAACGGCATCCGGTCGGTTGGTTGCAAAAAAGGATGGCAACATTAAACGTTGCCACATTTAAAGCGTTCTACAATATATGTTACCGCGACTATAAAAATAATAATTACCACCTTAAATAATTGATGGATTCGACCGTTACTTGATGGAAATTCATTTTATGTAACAATAAAACACTTGAAAAACACTTAAATAGTGGTGTGTACAAACTTCAATGTGGCGACTGCCCAAAAACTTACATCGGTCAAACTGGTAAAAACTTTGATAAACGAATAGCAGAACATAAAAGGGCTTTCAAGAATAGAAAAACAGATTCGACATACACACTTCACCTTCTAGATCATAATCATTCTTTTAATGACAAATTTAAAATTCTTCACATTCAAAATAAAGGCCTTAAGCTATCTTTGTTAGAATCTATGGAAATCAACAAATTAAAAAACACAGATATAATTCTAAATGACCAATTTGAGACAAACAGTTCTCCCCTCCTCAACCTATTTCATTAGAGACTATAAATTTGTAAACCCAAGCCAAAAATAGATCACTTGAGAAAGGCAATCAGCCGAAACAGCTGTAGTGATAAGATTTTAAATAAATTTTGTGGAAGTTTGAAAACAAAGTTTTCTGTGTTTTATTGTTACAATTGCCACCTTGTTTATAAATGGCACTAAAACAAATAAAGACTCACCTTTCAACTGGTAGCGATTTCTCAAAATCATTCTCAAAATTGATTTTCGATGTCAATCTACTCGACATTACAGGACTAGGTTCTGGAGAAACAAAGTCGTTCTCAAAAACTAATTTGCCACGACTACTTGATTTCCTAGGGAAAGTACTGGCCATATTTTCCTCAGACTTGGGACTGTCTTTGGTTTTTTTTCGCGTAAGAGTTGAAGGTTTTTTATTACATTCTATTTTAAAGTCAGAGGGGATTTTTTTACTGATTACTGGTTCTTCTGGAAATTTGTAACGATGTGCACTTTTGATGGGTGGACCCAAATCGGATTTATGCCTATGAGTTGGTTCTGAATATTGAGAATCTCGACTGCGAGATCTTCTACTAGGTTTGTATCTTCTATCTCTTTCGCCATCACTACCACCTTAAAAAAAATTAAATTATACAAATTTGCGATTCATGCAATTGCGCCTTTTTGACTTATTTTATCCTTACCATGTTATTGTTTATCTCTGCGGTAAATATAAAACTTGGATTAAATTCCTTACCTGCACCTAGGTGATGTCTCGATTTAATTTCTCCAGTTTTTCTATCCATTTCTGAAGCACTACTGGGTCGTTGTTTCCAATTTCTCTTAGAACTAGTAACGAAATGGGGCGAATCTTCAGGATCATTTGAATATTCGTCTTCCCAAGGAGATTCTTGAGATTCTCTACTATAATATCTTTCTTCAGTCTTATGGTCCCGCCATCTACCACTACTACCATACCTTGTTTTATCTATAAAAAATATTTTGAAATAAAATCACGTTTCTTTATTAGTAATAGGTAAACTAAAAGGTGTACCAAAATTTTCGCAAGATTTGAATTGAATAGAAAACATTTTATTGAATCATAAAGCGACTTTTGACGGTACACAAAAACAAATATGGACATTCATAAGAAACCAACGGAAAGAAATGGCGGAATTGAAGGAATACAGTAATATACCAGCGAACGAATGGGAAAGATACCTGACGGAACTGTTTAAAGGAAAGGAAAATAATAATAAACACAATAAACGTAACTGAATTAAGACACGAAATAGAAATCAGTTTTCACGAAGTAGAGATAACCATAAATTCACTCAAAAATAGAAAGTCACCAGGACCAGACGGAATAACCAACGAGCTTCTAAAACACGGAGGAAAAGGCATAATGAAACCAATGTTTAAGAAAGAAGATAAAGAGACCCCATGAATTATAGAGGTATAAATCTACTGAACACCACACTTAAGCTTACCACAAAAGTCCTAACCAACAAAATCAATAAAGTAACAACTTTATCAGATGAAAATCCTGGGTAGATGCCGTATTTGTACTAAGACAAATCACAGAAAAGGCCGTCGAGTATAATAAACCAACATATCTATGTTTTATAGACCTGATAAAGGCTTTCGATCGCATCCAAGTTGAAGATGTCTTACACCTACTGTATAAAAGAAACATACCAATCAATATTATACAAACCATCGAAATCATCTACTTCCATAATCCAATACAGGCAAAGATAAATGGAAAATTAACATAGTGTATACCAGTACAAAGCGGAGACAGACAGGGTGACTAGTTGCTAGTCTTGAGACAGTGTGTCTACGAACACTGTATGGGAGCAACTCTCCCATAGTTCGTATAGTCTCCCATAGTCTTCGTAGACACACTGCCTCAAGACTAGCAACTTCAACGTGGAGTCATATGTCGCCATGTTACCTAATCCAACGGTAACTTTAACATCCTAAGCCATTATAAGAAAATTTGTAAACTAAATGTAATTAATTATTTGTTAACGGGGTTTTACCCAAGTATTTAGTGGCTACATTCATGTACTCTTAGACACTGATGATGGAATATGGATTCCAAAAACGTTTTGTCTTTTTAACTTAGCCCGTTTGGGTCTAAATATATACCTTTTACAAAGGATTTTTAATAATTTTTTTAATATTTGTATATAATCTTGTATGTACGATTTGAAGCCTACATACAAGAAGGAAGAAGAAGAATATAGGATAGTGTTATGTATGGAATAGCGCATCCGATAAATGGCCTCCACAGCTAGCACCTTTTGTAAAAAATTTTCACGACCAATTTGCACAAATGATGCTGTTACTACGTACATAGATTACTACTAACTAATTTATTAGAGAATATGAATATGAGTATGAACAGGAATATTTACCTTGTCCTGGCTGATCCCAGTCTGGACAGCACCATCTATCTCTTGGGTCCCTTCGTCTTCTATGCCTTCTATCATCACTTCTATCATCACACCATCTATCACTATCGTGATCTCTACTTCCACCACTATGTCTGCTTTCTCGATCAGTTTCTCTCGAACTATGCCTGTCCCAATGACGTGACGAATGTTCATCCTCGTACCTTAAAATACCAAGGTGTTTAGTTATAAATTATATTTATAAAAAATACATGAAACATACAGTCATAAAAAAATAATAAAACTTACAATTAAACACTAACAGGATTGATATAAAATTCATATAAAATATCAAATATAAATTCTGCTGAAGTCCAGAATTGTATAATGGTTGATGGAAGATATACCATAAACGAATCGAAATACCATAAATAGAAATGAGAGGTTCACACCAACAGCCAGATTTAGTGGTAATGTATATTTAATAAGAGCATTATGGAATCAGGTTCAGACCAACATGATTTTCCAAGATTGGATAGTTATTTTGTATGTTGATGTGTGATTGCAATTAATCCCTGATTAATTAGCATCCCTCTCCATTTTTTGACATTATTGTGATAATTTACTATTGTTAAATATGCCGTCCTATATTTCTTTGAAAATTAATTTATTACGATAAAAAAACAAAACACATAGACAACATAAATAAACTTACTCATAATCGTCATCTTCATCCCAACTATCAGTCAGTCTTCTATCTCGTCTTCTTTCGAATGAGTGTGTTCGAGGATGTCTGTAAACTGTTCTCGGATCCCTCATTTCTCGAAGATCACGTCTTTGAGGTTCTTCCTCCCAAGGACTAACATCTCTTGAACTGGACGAGTGCCCACCGGCAGCTTGATTTCCATGTTGCCAATTACTCTGCTGACGACGTCTCCTTGGTCGATCGTAACATTCATAGTATTCTTCATCATAACTATCCGTCGAACGACGATTTGCAGGATAGTAGTGAGCTATATAGGTAATAAAACGTGTAGAAATCTTAATTCAAATTTCTGTTAGAATGTTTAGTACCTTCAGGTTCAGCAGCAGTATCCCACCAACCGTCTTGGTCCCTTCTTTTTCTTGGAAATGGTTCTGTACCACTACCCGAATCCTTACTTCTCCAACCTGGTGGAGATCCACCTCCAAATTCCTTAGAATCACTTGACCAAGGCGAAACTCCCTCTTCACTTTGCACAGCCTGTTTCTCTTTAACGGATTCCAAGTGTGCTGTTTCTTGGTCGAAAATAGCCCACGATTCACCTGAAAGGATTTTTATTACATTATGATTACCCTAGGATTCAAAATGTCTATTTCTATTAAGGCAGAGGCGTAATATGTGAATAAATAATTTGAATAAAAACACTAATAAATGAAAAATAGGAAAAAAGTTGTGTAATAAATTTTTTATTGGGAAAGGTCATATCTCTATACCTTGCTCTGTACGTTAGTAGATAGGAAGCCACTTTGGCCCACTTGGGCCTTTGACCCATTTTATGGTGGAGGAGCCTTTATTGGTGGAGTCGTGTATTATGTCACGTTTTATGTCGAATGTCACGTATTATGTCAAATGTTACGTATTATGTCACCAAAGTTTGTATGGGGCCCACATTACCCAAAACTTATTCCGTTTTATATATTCTTATTTTTCTCGATACATATTAGATTTCATCAGTGGTCTTAGGCTTCCTATCTTTTTATTTCCCTTTGCCAATCTGATATTCAGTTCCCATTCTTCCTGACCATTCTCTTCTTTAATAAGCTTCAGATACGTAAAATAGACCAATCTCTCGAAATTATATTCCCTTAATTCATTAGATATGAAAGTAAACGGTCCCTATTCTTTTTGATCTCTATTTTCCAGCATCGTGTACTTTGACTTTTCCTGGTTTATTTCCAGGTCAAAATATTTTGCCTCCTTTTTTATAACACTCCTTAATTGTTCTTGTCTTCGTTAGAATAGTAAGATCATCAACGAAGACCAGACATTGATGTTCATTGTTAAAGATGGATCCGGTCATTTTAACTCGGCTATTTCTGATTGTTTCCAATACCAAATTGAAAATGCACCTTGGATAACAGCTGTGCTTGTCTATGACCTTCAGTACTTCATACATTTTATTCCTTCTCATCGTATCATACGCTTGTTTAAAATATATGAGCAGAGCATGAAGGGTTGCTCCCTATAGCGGACATAGCACCTGACACAAAGTTTGGCGGTGGTTTTCTAGTCAGTAAAAAAGTAAAGCAATTAGTCGTTAACTTTAAACCCATAAACAACAGAATAAATATGTTATCTACGCCTTAAAGGAAAATTCTTTAACTAAAGCTTATTTAGTATAAACGCTGGAAGAAAAGGAAGACGACAAAAAAGATGAATTAACAACGAACACCTTAGACAAAGAATATGATCGATGACCACGTCATGACACGAAAATAATTGCTGGGGACCTTAATGCAAAAATTGGCAAAGAGCAATTTTCCAGCCAAACTTAGCAGGAGCACCAAAAACATGATAGTAGGAGGAACAAGATTTTCCCATAAAATAATACATAAAGGAACATGAAAATCACCTGACAACGAAATCGTTAACGAGATAGATTACATTCTAATAGATGCAATACATTCTTCCGACCTTATCATTGGAATCTATTCAACCCAAACGAAAGACCACCTACCACTGAAGAGGATGCCCAAGCCATTAAAAAGCTTAAAAATAACCAGGCCGGATTTACTCCAGAAAAATCAACAATTGACCAGATTTATTCAATAAGACTACAATAGTACCTCGACGGCGGTACTATTATAATAGATATTATACTACTATTATAATAGATAGATAATAGATCGATACGCAATCTTAGCATACGCTGATGACATTGATATAATGTGGCGTAGAAGCGAGATGTTGAGCAATATTTCCTAGAATTGGATACGAAGGTTTCCGGTCTAGTCATCAATGAAGGATGTCATTAATGAAGATAGATGATAGATAAAGAAGATAGAAGATAGTCATCAATGAAGACAAAACCAAGTACATGTTAGTTACTAAGGATCCTATAGCAAATGAAAAACGGGAAACAAAATTTGGAAGTCATATCTTTGAACTTGTTGACAGCTTCAAATACTAGTGACTACTACCAATAAAACAAGCTAAGAAATTAAAAGACGAATAAACCTTACTGCTCTGCACTTTGAATACTATAACTAAAAATGTGTATCAGTCGAACAAATTTTAGAAAAAAATAACACTTACCTGTTGCATCTGCCATCTTCTTCACTATATCAGAGTTACTAGCTGTGTTATCAACTTCTGGTGAACTTCCGCTAATGACATCCGATAGCGATCCTGAAGTGAGGCGAGTATTATTTTGAACTATTTCAGTTATAGCACTGGGTATTGGGCTTTTAACAATAACACTGGATTTAGTTGGAGACTTTAAAGTATTCTTTAGTTGTATTTCCTCACTTTGAACTTCAGGAGGTGTTATATATTCTATTATACTGGTTTTCACCGGAGAAACCAGCTGTTTATCTTTTATTTCCATTTGTAATTTATTTTCTTGGTTAATTATATTTATATTTTCATTCTCTTCATTAAAGTTTTCATTATTCAATATTTTTCGATCTTCCTCATTTTCCTCATCCTCCTCTTCTTCTACTTTGTATTCACCATCCGACTGGTTTTTATTCAAATCATCTTTCAGTATTTCACTATGTTTTAATTCGCTTTCTACTATTTCTCTAAGTGCTGCATATCTATCCGTGGTTTTAGAAGGTTCTTCGTTGAGAGGTTTCAAGTCTAAACTTACATTACTGTTCATTGAGTTTTCTAACTTTTCTTTCTCTTCCAATATCTCCTCAGGTTCCGAATCTATTTTAGTTTGTTTAATCTCTTCTTGCATTAACTCTCTAAATACAGCATATCGATCATAGGTTGGATCTGTATTGGAATTGTTAAAATTGGCTGCGAAATCTGCTTGAAAATTGGAAAAATCTGCAAAATTATTGGAATTACTAACTTCGGCTTCAACTTTAGTACTTGTTGCGGTAGCAGGTACTACATTATTTTTGTTTTTAATAAAATTTGATAAAAAATTTGTTAATTGCACTAAGGTCATATTGCTTAACTGTGTAGCTGGTATATTTAATTTCTGAGCTAATTCGTTTAAACCGCTTAAGGTAAGTTGACTAAGTGTAATATCCAGTCCTTCCAACGATGGATTTTCAGTTTTTGATTCGAGGAATGAAGATATATTTACCTGTTGAAAAAAAAATCGAGGTAATAAAGGATTGAAAAACTGATGCGTGCTTTACCTCTTTTTATTTCTTTTAAATTCATCAATTTATTCATCAATTTTATTAGTATGTGTCAATAAGTGTCATTATTTCAGTAGTACCACAGCCACCTTTACTTCCAAGCCATGAAGTAGAAATTTGGCAACAACGCGTGGTAGTCCGACCGTGGTTTGTTTTGTTTAACATTTCATATAGGAAGGCTTGTAAAGTTTGTTGAATTTAGTGTTTTTTTAACTTTATTCGAATGTTTTATTTGTAAATTGTGTTTAAATCAATTAGAAAATATTAATATAAGTGAAATTTCATTTAGTTTAGAACTTTTAGAAGATTCTTAACGACAATTTAAAAGGCAAGTATAAATATAACCTACAAAACAAACTGAAAATAATAATACTTTTGCTTCTTGTTACAAAATATGTAAACTAAAAACAACAATAATAATACTTTTGTTTTTTGTTACAGATGCCCTGGCATTGTTGTGTACCTGGTAGCAGAACCAATTATGTCAGTACTTTAAAAACAAAACAGGCAGAAAGTACGTTTTCCTTTCCCAAAGATCCCCAAAGAAGGTATACTGGGTTATGCTCTATTCATAGAGAAGGCTATACAATTACCAAATCTTCCGTAGTATGTGAAAAACATTTTCATGAAGATGATATTCAGCGGACTGAACAATGAGAAGATAAAGATGGAAATATACACATTGAAAAGTTAATATTTCCCAAATTAAAAGACAATGCAGTTCCTAATATATTTTCTGAAGTACCATCATATGTAACTGTTCATCATACTAAAGAAAGAAGGAATCCCAAAGACAGAAGAAACTTTTTGCATAAGAAGAGGGAACAAGAGATAACAGAATCCTTAGACAATGATTTAATAGATTCATTTGAATCATTTTTAAGAGACTTAGACAATAATATCGCATTGAAAAACTGTTAAGTAGTAATGATTTGAAATGGATTTTACAATATAGTAAATTAACAAGATGGTCACAATTAGAGAACTTACTTTCTCGATATAGATCTGCTTTTTAGATAAGTGATAACAAATTTGAGTATTACATTCAAAAATCTTTTGAGAATATAGGCTATTTTAAATCCATATACAAGTTATAAATGGTATGTTACATTCAACACATTTTTCATGTATACCTCTTTTAACTTGGTCTATATGACAAAAAACCTATTCATATATAAAATTGCTACTTTCGTATACCTAAGTATGAAAATTTAACAAAAGTTATAAGTAAATAGTAAAATATTTAATTTTCAATTAGATTAATTTAGAGCCATATTTATATTGTGTCTGATTTCTTAGGATGAATTTTTTAATCATAATAGTTACACTAAGTTTTTACTTAACAAATTTTATATCTTTTGTATTTTTAATAATCTTTTTAAATGTAGTGTTAATGTATTGTGTTATTTATATGCTTAAGTACTTATTATTTAAAATTTCTAGAGATTCTTGACTGCATTTGATTGTAAGATTAACTGTTTGACACTGTATATTAAGTGCAATAAATTTTACTCTATTGATTATTTTATTGATAATATAACCTTAATAATAATAAAACTTTATATATATGTATTAGGTATATATAACGTTTTATTAATTTAATTTCCCTAAAAATATTTCTGTAATGAATTGAAGTTATCAAAATATCAGTTTCCTAAAATTCAAATTAGTTTAATTTTCTGGTAGACATGTGGTAGAGCTTGAGCTTACAGCTGATTATCGGACTACCGACGTCATAGAATGCGGTGTTGCCTTTTTTACTTCATGGCTTGGAAGTAAAGGTGGCTGTGGTAGTACCAATGGTTTTATTATTGGATGTTATATGGTGTTGTTTGATTGAATAAAGATATATTTGGAAATATAATCAGAAAACAATAATATTGTGAAATATGAGAAAACAGTGATTGGGAAGATTTTACAAAAAATTATGCTGAATTTAGTAAAGAGTAAGAGCTTGAACAAGATGTAAAAATTAATGGAAATTACATGTAATTAGAAGAAACTGTTGATTTTTAGGCACAGAAGGTAATTTCAAATAACTTAAATAAGGACAACATAGCTAAAGAAACAGAAAAAGTGGTGATTTTATTTTTTTATATGATAGAACAAGAAAATCCAGTATTCATTACATACTAAAAATTAACTGTAGTTAGTAGAAATGGTAATCAATTTATTGTGACTTTTAGAATGATGAATGCATTTATTTAAATACCATACCTGCCTGCAACAAGTCAAAGAAAAGAAGAAAGAAAGGTACAATGCTTTTTATAATCTTTTAACCACTATCCATAATATATTCTCAAGAGATACCTAATATAAATAAATATTTTTATTGTTAGAATATTGAGATGTGTAGAATTCTAATCCAAAAGAGACGTTTTAAAGAAGTGAATACTTAAAAATAAATAAAAATGGAAATAACCAGCAATACTTTGACCCTAGTTTTTGAGCTGATTCTTTACAATTTTAATAATTTGTCTTTAACATATTACAAGTTGCTATATTGAATAGTAGGGTAGGGTAGGACCATCGAGCAAAAAGACAAAAGAGGGAATGTAAAGGTAGTGGGGACAAACATACTGTTAGACAGGAAGTGCGATCTTTAGAGGCCACATTAAACAAGGAAAGAGAGTCTCTCTCCTTGTTTGACATCAAATTTAGTTGGGTTATGTTATTGTTTGTCCAAAATGTCACATGAAATCTTATTAATATTGAAGTTTTTTAACAATTGTGTCGCATTTTAGACTCTTATCATTAATAATTAATTAAAACTTTCTCGTCTAAGACACATTCTGAAAAATATTATATAGCTACGGCTAATGTGTCGCAAAATTTAAATTTGGCGCATTCGCATTTCCGGATATGTCCGCCATCAGAGGCCACTTTTTTGGTCTCCTTTTCATAAGGATTAGATTCCCTCTTTTGTCTTATTGCTCGATGGGTAGGACTAAACTACTAATAATTTTTAAATATTAAATAATTTAAATGGTAAATGAAGAATAATAATAACATGAATAAAAGCTATTTTAATATTTGTCATATACAAAAAACTATGATTTTATTCTAAATAAAATATATTTACAGATTTTATCCGTAGGATATGGAATCCGGCATTTGAAAAAAATATGCTCAATTTAAGAAGGAACCTATGACTAATAAAGTAGTAAGCATCAATATACTATACTATATATCGATGGTAGTGAGCATATTTTTTAAATAAAGAACAAAACTAGTAGCAGGCCAAAGGCTTCATGTAGAAAAAGGGGAGAAAAGAGCACAACAGAAACATGTCAGAGAAATGAAACTGGCAGAAGACATCCACTGAAAATAAATAGATTTATTAGATAACTATCTCTGTTTTGACTTTGACTTTTCAATCGAATCATTTCAACTGTACAGCCACTTCCATAGGCTAAAATGGAAAACTTTCTCTTCCATACACATTCTGCTACATACTGGAATTCATTATACAAATTTTCAGGATGTCGCTTGGTGAATTGTTTTAGTGGACTTGATCTGAATGTGAATTTAAAATCTTATCAATAATATAGAATTATCCATACCGCGCAAAGACGACTAGATATGAACCAGGATCTCTATGTCTGCTTTGTAGATTATCAAAATTCTTTTGATAGAGTACGACATCAGAAACTCGTAAAACTGTTAAAAGAAAAGAATGTGGATAGTCGAGATATACGGGTTATTGCCAATCTGTATTGGAATCAAAAAGCAAAGGTTAGAATCGAAAATGTCGATACAGAAACAATAGAAATCAAAAGAGGTGTTAGACAAGGTTGCGTGCTATCCCCATTGTTATTCAATCTGTACAGCGAAGCTATTTTTAAGGAAGCAATATCAGAGGAACAACAGGGTATATCAATAAACAGAAAAATCTTAAACAACATAAGATTCGCAGACGACACCGCTGATTTTGCAGAAAGTCTAGAAGCACTGTAACGCTTAGTAAATAGATCAAGTCAGTATCAAATATGGACTACAAATGAACGTTAAGAAAACCAAGTTCATGATTATTTCCAAGCAACATACAGAGTAGGAAGGCTAGATATCGAGGGAAAACAAGTAGAAAGACTGAATGACTACAAAAATCTGGGAACCTGGGTAAATGAAAACAATGACAGGTAGAGAAATAAGGACACGCATTGAAATTGCAAGACAAGCATTTATAAAAATGAAAACAATGTTTGTCAATCGACACCTTCCTCTGGATCTGAGGATAAGAGCCTTAAGATGCTACGTGTTCTCGACTTTTTTGTATGGAATGGAAAGCTGGGCACTAAAAGTGGATAATATAAAGAAGTTGGAATCATTTGAGATGTGGTGCTATAGAAGGATTTTGAAAATACCATGTACCCAACGAGTTACAAGTGCAGAAGTGTTAAGAAGGCTACAAAAGGATTGCGAGGTCATAAAGCACATAAAAACGAGGTGCAAAATATGAGATATTAAGGCTCATAATGCAAGGTAAAATCAAGGGTAAAAGATCCATAGGACGACGAAGAATTTCCTGGCTGAGAAACCTAAGAGAGTGGTATAGTTGCAGCTTAGTAGATCTTTTTAGAGCAGCCGCCAATCTGAAGTGAATTTAAAAATCTTATCAATAATATAGAATTCCTGTTTATAGAATTCATACCTGTTCCAAAAAAATATTACTCGCATTTAAAACATATCCAGGGAGTATCACAAAATTGTCAGAATTTAAAAATCAATCTTTGATTTATTTAGAGCATTTATTGTAAATTTTGAGAATTTCATGATACACCCTTGATATGATTTGGATACTTAATAATTAACAACTGTCTTTGTTTGCAAGTTGCTGTTTTTAAGAATCATGAGCGGAATCTGACAACCTAGGTACTATATCCATACCACTCCATACT